TCCACAAAATACTGGTAGACGTCAGAAATAGGAAACTTGTCCTTGCCGAACAGAGTAAGGAAATTAGAGGAATTATATCAAATGAGACTTCCATACATTTATTAGTTAAACCGCATCAAGAGAACGACAAATACGTCAATTTACTTAATCAGTTTCCAGACTTATTACGACCGAGTTTCAAACACGACAAACCGACGCATACCATCGTACATTACATAAAGACAGAGGGTCCACCAGTGTTCGCACGTCCAAGACGCCTTGATCCCTCTCGTCTGGCTATCGCAAAGAACGAATTCAACAAAATGATTGAGTTGGGCATCATACGCCCCTCCGATAGTCCGTGGGCATCACAGCTCCATATGGTACCTAAGAAAAACTCTTCTGAAGTTAGACCGTGCGGTGACTATAGAGCTCTCAACAGCCGGACCATACCAGATAGATACCCTCTCCCACATTTGCATGACTTCACTCATAGCCTATCTGACGTGTCGATTTTTTCAAAAATTGATCTCGTTCGTGCTTACCATCACATTCCAATTCATCCGAACGATGTTCCTAAAACAGCCATTACTACCCCCTTTGGACTATACGAATTCGTCCGCATGCCTTTCGGATTAAGGAATGATGCACAAAGTTTCCAACGTTTTATTGACCAAGTGGTACGGGGCTTACCGTTTGTGTATGCTTACATAGATGACCTACTTATAGCAAGCAAAGATGAAAATGAACATCTAACTCATCTGAAAATGCTTTTTGAGAAGCTAAACGAGTATGGGTTAGCAGTCAATCCTGACAAATGTGAGTTCGGAAAACAATCCCTCACCTTTTTAGGTCACGTACTTGATAATCAAGGCATTAAACCAGTTCCTGAGGAAACACAAGCTATCAAAAATTATCCTTTGTCTGATTCATTCAAGAAACTACGACGTTTCCTTGGGATGATCAACTTTTACAGACGTTTTATCCCTAAATGTGCAGACTTAGCAAAACCATTAACTGATTTATTAAGGGGACGAGCTAAATCATTAGCGATGACACCGCAAGCAATCCAAGCATTTGATCAGTTGAAAAGCGCTTTAAGCACAGAGGCATTACTCGCACGACGAAAGGTTGATGCACCTTTAGCAATAATGACCGACGCTTCTAATGTAGCAGTAGGTGCTGTACTTCAGCAACGTGTCAATGAACAATGGCAACCCCTTGCATTTTTCTCAAAAAAGCTAAACGCAACGCAAACAAAATATAGCACATTCGGTAGAGAACTGTTGGCTATCTACTTAGCCATCAAACACTTTCGCTATATGTTAGAAGGCAATTCTTTCACGATATATACTGATCACAAACCTCTAACTAAGTCCTTGATGCACAATCATGATAAATACAGTCCGCGCGAGATCCGTCAACTAGAATTCATTTCACAATTTGCAGCTGATATACGCTATATTAAGGGCAATGCAAATGAGGCAGCAGATGCACTATCGAGATTAAATATCAATACCTTCTCGATCCCTGATATAGACTATCAAGAAATGGCAAAGCATCAAAAGCTCGATACGGAGCTACAAAAACTTTTGCAGTCTAAGGAAACGGAATTATTATTCCAAAACATCCCCATAAACAACAAGGACACCTTAACTTGTGATACCTCAACAGGTAAAACTCGCCCTTTTGTACCTTACGGTATGAGACGAAATATTTTTGAGAAGTTACACAATATATCTCATCCAGGTATAAAAGCCACTGTAAAGCTTGTCACAGATAGATTTGTATGGCCAAAAATAAACAAAGACGTACGAAAATGGTCACTGGAATGCATCCAATGCCAAAAGTCAAAAGTACATAGGCACATCATATCTCCTACAGGAATTTTTCCCACCGCTACCTCTAGGTTCGACCATATTCATATCGACATTGTTGGACCATTACCGATTTCTAATGGTTACACGCATATATTAACATGTATAGATAGATTTACGAGATGGCCAATAGCTGTTCCGTTAAAAGATACGTCAGCATCAACAGTGGCGAAGAAGCTGGTGAAACACTGGATTACAAACTTCGGTGTCCCTACAACAATTACGACCGACCGTGGAACGCAATTCGAAAGCAAACTATTTCAACAACTTACGGATACTTTCGGTATAAAGAGAATTAGAACTACTGCTTATCATCCGTCGGCTAACGGAATGATAGAAAGGTTCCACAGACAGCTAAAAGCCTCTTTGACGGCCGCACGAGGGGATTACAAATGGGATGTCAAGCTTCCTTTGATACTATTAGGCATTCGCTCAACCATCAAACAAGACCTCGGTTGTTGTGCTGCTGAGTTGGTTTATGGAACAACGTTACGTTTGCCTGGTGAATTTTTTGACCGTGCAACAGATATTCCAGCTGATATAACCAACTACGTACAACAATTAAAACACCAGATGGAATCCATTAGGTCCGTTAAACCACGAACCCAAAAGGTGAAATCATTCGTACCCAATGAACTAGACAAATGCTCACATGTATTCGTCAGAAATGATAGAGTACGACAGCCGTTACAGACTCCTTACGACGGCCCTTTTAAAATCATCCGAAAGGACACTAAAACGGTTACAGTGGAAAGAGCAGGTAAACATGATACTGTTAGCATCGACAGAGTAAAACCAGCATTTTTAGAGAACACTGAAAAACAGACAACTGTAAAGTCGTCTAAACCTGAAGCAGAGCAAGCACCATTCAAACTACCTACAACAAGGAACACTTCAAATCAAAGTTCAGCAGCAGCACAAACTACAACAAGATCAGGAAGAAGAGTACACTGGCCAGATAGGTATGTAGCAACCACCATATTTATCTAGACCAAATCCTGAGACTACTCTTATAACACATAAAAATCCTACTTTATTTTGATTACTTTTTTCTTATTGGCCCCACGGATCATCATTATGCTTACATTTTAACTTTATACAATTCATTAATGTTAAATATACACTTGTATAAAGATGATACGAAATGTTTCAACACACCAACAGTTATTACAATTTAACGCTTACTCATCATATTGAGTTGTACTTTTATTTTAAAAACAGTTCCGTTCTTTATCTCTTTGTCGAACATAGATGTTAATCGAATTTTTTTTTGGTACATAAAAACATCAATGTTCTGGATGGGAGCTTATGTAGCAAGCCCATTCAACTAATGTATCATTTGTCTACTCACTGTAATTCAGACACTTAATTCATCATGTTAATTTGTGTGCATTTCAAACTCTTAATTCACTATGTTAATTTCGGTGTGTATGATCGAATGCATGTCTGTACATTAACCCCTAAGCTATTCTCCTATTGGTGGTAATATACAGATAATCAATAATTTATCCACACCTGATTAACTCTCAAAAATATATATGGATTTTTGTCACACACACTGACTCACTCACATTGTTTCATCGTGTGCTTGTTCGTCCTACGTTTGTGGATCTTTATTAATCATTAACAATAAACTATCTCTGTAATGGGTGTTCAGGCTTCTCAATAATCTCGAGTAAATCTATAATTCTACTAGGAGATTAAGCCTATCAAAAATACTCAGTTTACGGGATATTATTTATTGGAGTCAGACATTGAAGATATTAGCCTCAACAAATTAGCCAGCCACCGTCCCCACACGTTCGTAGGGGTCCGGACCAGAAAACGCTGAAGACGTAGGATGGAACTACGTTGACTCAAGAAACTAGAAGCGACCATAACAACCAATTTGGAGATCAAAGGTATGCCAGAGAGATTCGAAACCAGAATATCGAATGAGTGCGTTGACTAGAGCGTGGCTGATCAGGCTAGCTTTTTCCGAAATTGACTGAAGTCAACGGTACCAAACGGGCAATGGTCGGAGACGTGGTCTCAAGATACAAAAAAATCAAAGAAAAAAAGAAAGGCGTAGCATCCATGTAGTATAGGAATAGTCGTACACCGTGTCCGTATATGGTCCTAAGCAGCTGACAAGAAACCACAAAATGAAATGGATTCGTACTATTCTCCCTCGATTGCTATTTTGCTCTTATTCAAATTTCTGAATGGAGGTAGCTGGATGAAATATATGAATATGCGTCTCCCTGTTTTCGTCTTCGAGTCACTCAATCATTTAATGATAGTCGGTTGCAAAATATGGAGAGAAATAAATTGAGTGTTCATGGATGCGCACTTCATGAGAGTCATGTTGTAAGACGAAACGGCCGTCCAGTGATCCCTGGTTTTTTAATACTGTTCGATTCATGATCTCAATGAAAACTCGATCTTCACAAACGTACGCTGACAATGCGATTAATGTTTTTAACGGTGCTCAAGTGATGGTTGCTTCCCTCATCATATCTTTAAATCTATACGTGAATGTAGATTCCGTCTCCATCCAAAAATCTACGACGTGTCACACAATCCCTAATGTAATTCATTTCGTAATTTTTCTCTGAATAGGATCCTTTGGCATTGTTAAAATTGTTTTGGATTTAAATATTGTTTGTCGAATTAAACTCATGAATTTAATTCAAAATGTTCATTTGAAAATCAGTCGGAAATTTTTGAAGAAATGAATCAAAACACTTGATGTCTTTACCATTAATCTAGATAGATACTAACAGGATTTATGGAGTAAAGAACTAAGTCGAATTCAAATAGAGGCACTTCCTCGGATTAAAATTTCATATTGCAAAATGTGCAACAGATCCGAAAACGATATGCAATTTCAATAGTTGTCAAGTCGTAAAGACTTTAATAAAATTATAGTTGTAAACAGTTGAATTTAAGTTATTCTCTCAATTGTTTAGGATTTATTCTCATTCACGTCTATTTTTACACAGTCTAATAACTTTTGAATCATTATATATATAAAGTTTTTTTAGATTAAAGTGTCATGAAACGAAAGTACGTTAACTACACCCTTCCCTAATTCTATCGGTTTCTAATTTGATTGACTCGTTTTTGCATTTCTCTTTCCTAAAAACCTTCATACATCTTTAGTACCCTTGGTTAGATGATAGTCCGTACTTAGACTTTCTTGATGCTGAATTCAATGTTTATGGATCAAAAACACTGGTAAGCTTAAATATTCTGGTTAATTTTATCAATTTATTACAATAACAAATTGGTCTAATTAATATATCAAGATTTAGGACTATTGACAAATTGAGTGACAAGTGGCAGTTAGGACCAAGGCTTGGTCGAAAGCTTTCTACTGATCATATCCAATCTTCTTGTAACCTAAGATTTAAAAACCTGATTTCGAGTCACTAAGACTAGTGGCTGAATTGCAATTTGTTTGCTAGCATTCAGTCACTACTAAAAGACTAGGCAAACATGGTATGGTCTACAGATTAGTGATCAATTATTAAGATGCATATTTTCACCAGGAATATGTTTCATCCTAGATACAGAATAAATGTTTTTAATTGAAAAGAACACAATGGAATTTTTTTAAAAATCTTTTCGACTGTTATAAACAACTTCATGGATGAATCATAAGCTCTCTTGTATAATCCCAGCCAAATGTACCGGATATACTACTCAAACCAAAGTTTAGAATTCACTCATCATTAATCAGCAGCCACAAATGCAGAGATAAGCTACCAACGTGTTCTTTTTGGTAATTCCAATAGTCCATTTGTAATTTCTTTCATAGAATCAACAAAAAATTTGATGGTCCCCCTATTTTGTCACTTTTAAACAAATTGATTTTCCCGGCCATCAAGACAAAATCATTGAGAATTTTTCATCATGTATTTCAGATTAGAAAGAAGTTGATTGATAATGCTAGAGGTTCTGAACAAATTATCGATTTCATCAAAGTTTCAGATAATGTAAGTTTATTGTCACATTTTGAAACTTTTAGTGGCCCGTGGATCTGACTCCTATTTAGATCATATAAATGTTTGCTATCGCCTATTCTCGTATATAATCGTCGACTTAAATCACGTTATCCAGTAGAGGAATTAAATAAGTCAAATAACGAGAATGGGATGTTGAATACATATATTTTGTATGAGGTTAATGAAGTGGAAGGAAGAGAAGCGACGCAGAGTGGAAATGGCTGGTAAGCCAACTCCATTTTAGTCAAGCGTTGCTCAATATTTATAGTCAGACAAAATAAAGCTACAGACATGCAATGAATCATATGATATGATGTGTATACACCTACGTGCCCATATAAAAACAATCAAGACTGACAAGCGAATAATTGACAAGGTCAACATATGACTCATGTAGAATGAATAGAATGGGACGTCCGAAAACTAGAATAAGATATATTATGGGCTAAAGCTAATGACTAACACTACATAGCCCCCTCGTAGAAAATAGCACATTTAAAAACGTCTGTTTTCGAAAATGACACTGAAGTGATATGGAGTTAACGTTAACAATAAGTAGCGAAAAAAATTGTGCAACACTCGATAAAGTAGTGGTTCACATGAGGGGTGAATGTATTATATGAAAATGTTATATTTATGTAAAAGAATACATGAATATCGAAAAGGCGCGGACAAAAATGGAAACGTTAACATGCGAATATGAGCAAATTAATGAGCGTACAAAAAATTAACATGTACTAATGCTATGACTGTCTGAACGATAAAATAACAAGATCGTGTGAACGATTCAAAATATCGTGGAAATAGCGATAAATTGTTTGTGGGTATGACAGCGAAACAAATCGTGAAAATAAGTAAAGTATAATATGACAGAAATTGGTCTGTGATGCTGACAAAATAGTGAAATATGTTAACTATATGTTCTGTTGAGCAGCAGTAGAATTAATGGCATCGACTAGCGATGAGTGAATCCGAATTTAAATGCGTAGTTCCCGTTAGTAGAATAATAATAGTCAAGTCGTGACATGATATCTGCATCGACGGGTGATATTCGTTGCTGTACTGCAATTGATAATAATCATAAACTATGAAGTCAGTGAACGTTGTCGTCTGCGTCATGACAGATGCATTGGGTTATCGTTGAATATGTATTAGTAGAATGACCAGAGGAACAGAATAGTGACTGAGTTGACGAGGTACGTAGAGTCGTATTCCTTTTTGGCCATGAAGCCTAGAGTGGTTTGTGTGGTTTGAGGGAGATGCGGTCGACCTCGTTTATTACAAAACCGTACCAAGGCATGACAAAAATACCAATACATATGATTAGCGATGGCGACGTATGAGACTGACTTGGATGTGACGAACAAGAGTGTATCTTCGAGAGACTAGCTCTAAACTCTATGTTCTGATATACCGTGCGATGGGTATAGAATAGTAGTTGCAGTACTCGAATAATGTTTTTGGGTAATTAATGATGCGGCATGTGGTTATACATGTGAACGAAGAGATAAGATGAACGTAATGGTTTCTAATCAGCTAGTTAGAGGCATCCACAGACATAATGGAGGCGATTTTGAAATGAAAAGTGTATGTTATGATAACATAAATTGCTGACCTCGACTAAGTGAATGAATGTAATATTAGGTCGAAATGACATGGAAAAAATGGAACGAACTCACTTAAAGCAGGGAAATTTCACGTTTTTGAATAGTAAAAATATCCTAATGAGTTCTGAATGTTATTACGTGGAGTGGGATTTTCATAAAATGATAATTTGTTCGGTGAGTAATATGACCGCAAAAATGTCATAATTTAATGACAGCATGAACAAGACTAATAATTCCACATTCGGTCATGATATTGGCAGTAATTTCATAATATGCACATAATGATAATTTGAATCGTAATGGAACAATCCGACGAATGGATCAATGAGGATAATTGACATGAGGACAAAGTAACAATAAGATAATAAGATTTGTGTATGTTCATGTCGTGCTGCACAGGCTTTGCTGAGTGCGTCGGCTTAGAGATTGAGCTGGACCTGTTGAGTGTGTTCGTCGAATGTATCAAGTGCAGAAATCTCTTCATCGGCGTAGCTTGCTGCATTAGGTTCGTCGTCAGCGTGCTTACCATTTTAGTTCGTCGAAAGTATGGAGTGCAGCCGTTCCTTCATCGACGTAGCTTGCTGCGTTGCGCTCGTCGTCGGCGGGCTCACCCTTTTGGTGTCCCGTCGTTTCCTGTTCTCACGTCGGGGTTACCATTTTAGTGGCTCGTAGATCTGACTCCTACTTAGATCGTATAAATGTTTGCTATTGCCTATTCTCGTATATAATCGTCAACTTAAATCACGTTATCCAATAACGGAATCAAATAAGCGGTTAGTAGTAAGACTAGCAGAGTGAATAAATGCGTGGGCCGTAAGCAATATTCAAGCGTACATTTTCATACATTCGCAATAGTAATAAAGATACAATGATTTAGGTAAGTAGTTGTACGGATGACTCAGGTCGTTAATATGTTAATAAAATGACTTAATTGAATTAATAGTGAACATACTCGATTTCACATGATCTGCTATAAACTCATACTTGTCGTGAATCAATGGGGCTTGATCTAAATCACTAGCTTTCATTCTTAATATAAATTATTTTCGGACAACAAGTTTACTTATGTTCTTTAAGATTATAATAGATCATCACTGATTATCAAACAATAAATTCAGCGACATAACTCATCTAAACATCATAGCAACTCAAGTGCAATTGAGTTTGTTCACATTTAATTTGGTTAAGCTATAGTTGCTGCTTCTCTTTGCCTTCTGATTTCAAACACCGCTGAGGATTGTATGATAATGGTTACGAGGGTGACTGGTTAACGAAGCACAGCCACTACAAGTTGACGAAAGTCGAAAGGTTGCCTTGGTTTTTCGGATTATATATATCACAACATAGTTGACCATATTTAGTGTACTTAATTAAAATAATTAAAAAGCCTAACAGTAAATTTATACTAATCTCTTTTCTGATTTTCAAATAACTAGGATACAAAACTTAAATTTTTTTAATAGGTGAAAGTTCATAGAACAATTACTGCATAGAATGAATCACTAGATGTATATCACGGCTTAAAAATATTTTTTTACAATACTGAACAAATTGAGGTGATTTGCTTTGTTTTTATTGATTTCACTTTTCAGGTGCATACTTATGTTAAACCAAGGCTGTATTCATTTACAAGACTACCTAATACAGATTTTGGGTAAGGAATGCTTCTTTTCCACTCTTCTTTTTAGTACGATAGATCAATAAATTTTCAGCGATATCATACAACCATTCTATCTTTTTCTGTTTGCTATGAATAATACATTTCTGAAAAAAACATGTTTCAATGGTTGAAGCTAGACCACCATGGAAAATCTGGAAACACTGGACGACTTTCTTGTTCTATTGTGGGACTCCTCAATGGTGCGCATCCACAACCTCGCCTCCTGCGAGATTCAAACCCAGGACCTACTAGTTTCGCGCGCGAGCACTTAGCCAATAGACCACTGGGCCGGCATCCAACGATGTCAATGTCTAACTTCAACTAATCCGCGAATTTGAGCTACACATCCATCATTGTTTTCAGTGAGTTACTATCTCACAACAGAACTGGTTGAACTCCACTGGTCACTACTTCTCACTAGAACTCCAGGATATACCTCTTGAAGCCAGTCACTAGTGAGCATATGTTGATTAATATCAGATGGATTTTGTGGATATTATAGTAATTTCAATGGTTAAGATCATGAGTCACAAAATGTTTAAAGGGTATATTTTTACAAAGCAGCTTCAGAATTGATAATCTATAAGAATTGTGTTTCTGTGTCCATTCTCAGATTTTACCACTGAGCAGACAAATATAATGTCTGACCTGTGACATATGTGTTCCAGTTAAAGTTACCAAGTTACATGAAAACAGGGACTTAAAACATTAATAGAAATATCAAAGTAGTGTAGTGAAAAACATTATCAGTAGTAGTAATATTAGTCGTTTTTATATGGACCATAGATATTTTTGTATGGAATAAAGAGTTTTAGTTGTCATTAAAACTATGGGTTCACGGAATGCTGGAGAATGATCACATTTTCTTAATTGTTATTGATTCTTAATTTGTCGATCGACTCCTAACGTTCTGTTCGAGTCAGTTATTTAAAATTGATAGTTCATTGATTATTGAACAGTCTCATTCTTTTTAGTCTTTTAATTATATTCCGATATATAGACAACGTCTAACTATAATTTAGTATATACTACATATGTTGGCAGGTATAAGTAGAATGCAACACTAGTGGAAAGTGGAATGCATACCTGCAGAAGATTACGAAGATCCAGTTAAAGAAAACCGAAGAGGAAACAGAAATTAATAATAAAAAACGTAATCAAAATACTCATGGAGCATGTAAAGGAAAACCAATAAAAGATGTGCAAATTATGTATTCAATGTATAGTTTTCATATTTTAAGAAAGTACAAAGTCATCGTTCATCATATTAATCTTCAGAGACTAGCTTTTAAGAGTTTAACAGTATACTCAGATGTTTGTTTGCAGTACATTTTATGACATCCATTAGTACTGATCAAAGATTAATCTGAATGTAGTTTTATGGCTAATTAATGCTAACCGAACTTCAAACGATAATCAACAATTAATGACAGTTTCTTAAAATATAAGCATTTCAATACTATAGTTAAATGTTGCATATTCAGTTTTAGGCCTGATGATTCCATGTTGGATCTTTAACCGAATTACGCGTTTGCATTGCTGAGGAGCCCCAAACCAGTGATAAACATATGTCCAGTGCTTCTTCTAATAATATCAATCTTGGAAGAATATTTCTTTGTATTAATTCGGTCATTTCATTCTACCTAATTATATATATTTCTAGATTCATCAGTAGCACAAATTTCCAGTTTCACCGACAGTTTGTCACTTTACTGCGTTAAGCTTCAGTACGTTACTTGAAGTCCTTCGGTATGATGTTCAGATTGAGTGTTAACCTGTCAAGATTTCTTGACATTTGAAAAAAAACGTAGATAGGAAAATGAAGACAGTACGACACAGATAATCGTCCACCATTCAACTACTCCTAAAACATAATTCGAGTTGTGAAAATAACAAGTAACCATAACCATTTTTGTACCTACTATGCCAGTTTGATGATAACGTTGTTTTCTCAGTGAAAGTTTTTGTCGGACGGCAATTTTTCTCCGTAAATTGAATCAACGTCTTTATTATTTCTTTTTCCAGAGTTGCATTTGTTATGCCCACTGATCAACAGTTGTTTTTGAGTATTCCAAAACCAATAAAATCTAAAATTACTACAGATGGTTCAGGGAATTACATGATTGACGATGGTATGTCAAAATATATGCATTTATATATTGTCAGTATAGGGTTATGCAGACTGTGTAACTTCACTGAGTTCATGAACTGATCTAGTTTAGTAAACCACCTAAAATATAGAAGTTCCAGACAGCTGTTTCGTCCTAGTGTGGGAGTCCTCAGGAGTGCACATTCGTGATACCCCATCCAGGAACTGAATCCAGGACATTCAATCTCGTGTGCTAACGTCTGACTTCTAGATCATGGAACCAGGGTTCAGTCGTGTATATGTTTAGCTTTAACCAATCCACGATATTGAAAGACTATCTAGCATTGTCTTCGGTTAGTAGCTTCTTCACACCCAATATGGTTAAACTTGTACTCTATTGGGTCCCGGCTCAGTAGTCTAGAAGTCAAAAGATTCCACGCACGGCTGAAGGTCTTGGGTTCGGTTCCTGTTTGTAGTATCATGAATGTGCACTCCTAAGGATTCATACACTAGGATGAATCAGCTGTCTGGAACTTCCATATTTTCAGTGGTTGTCTAAGCTAGATCGCTTTGTGATTTCAGCAATATATTTAGGTTAATTTCTTTATGGTGATTAAAATTTAACAATTAACTGATGAGACCCTAGTTGTAAGTTCAAACCACTGCATTCTAGTCCGGTAATAAAGAGGTCATACGGTCATCGTAGGACTTGAATAAATTGGAATACATATACGTTGATATCGACTTATTGTCTTAAATTAGGCTGGAATAGCCATTGCCTCCTGCATTTAGTGGTTCATAAGCTGGCGAAAATTACTTCTTTAGTTACGCCTGTTACCCCTCGTGGAAGAGCATATTCCGCACACCAGCACTCGCTATCCAACCCTGTCCTGGGCAGTCCTTTCCAGTTGCTATTCATCCTTTTTGGTGTCTAATTCCAATTCTCGGAGCAGTGTGTTCTATGGCCTTCCTCTTATCTGGTTCCCTTCAGTATTCCAAGTTAGGGCTTGCCTTATGATGCAGTTTGGTGATTTCCGTAATGTATTTCCTATCCACTGACATCGTCTTTTCCTAAGTTCCTCTTCATCTGGAAGCTGGTTTGTCCTCTCCCACAGTAGGATGTTGCTGATGGTATCCGGTCAACGAACATTAAGTATCTTGCGTGGACAACTGTTTTTAAATATTTATACCTTTTTGATGATGGTTGTGGTAGTTCTCCAAGTTTCAGCTCAGTACAGTAAGATTGTCTTGAAGTTCATGTTGAAGATTCTGACTTTGATATTGGTTGACAGTTGTTTTGAGTTCCATATGTCCTGCAAATGTAGGAATGCGGCCCTTGCTTTGCCAATCCTTACCTTTACTTCTTCATCCGATCCTACTGGTTTATCGATGATGCTTTCCAGGTGTATGAAAGATTCCACATCGTCCAGAGTTTCCCCATCAATTGTGACTGGGTTGGTGTTCTCTATGTTGTATTTGAGGATGTTGTTTTTTCCTTTGTGTATGTTGAGGCCTACTGATACAGAGACTGCTGCTACACTAGTTGTCTTCATCTGCATTTGTTCGTGTGTGTGGGATAGAAGAGACAGGTCATTTATGAAGTCCAAATCTTATAATTGATTCCGAGCTGTCCACTGTATTCATGCTTTCCCTCAGGTGTCGAGGGTCTACATGATCCAGTTGGACCACCAGAAGAAAGAGAAAGAGAGAAAGTAAAAAGCCTTGTTTGACTCCGGTCCTCACTTGGAATGCATCTGTCAGCTGTCCTTCATGCACGACTTTGCAGTGTGGTCCGTCGTATGAGTTTTGGATAATGTTGACAATTTTAAGAGGACCTCCATAGCATCGAAGAAGTTTCCATAATATTCTCCTGTCCACAATGTCAAACACCTTCTCATAGTCAATGAAATTGGTGTATGGTGACGGGTCCCATTTAACGGATTGTTCAACGATGATCCGTTGATTTGTCTGATAGCCAACCTGATTTCTTCGATCGTTGGTGGAGTGACATCTACAGGAAGGTCTGGAGGTGCTGCTTCGATGTTCTGTGGATCTAATAAGCATGTATATTCAAGAGTCCCTCTAAGTATTTTACGCATGTTCCGCTGTTTTTGAATTTCAGTGATTGCATGTTTCCTTTGTCCTTGATCAGTCTCTCTGGTTTCCTATATCTCCCTACTAATTTCTTCGTTGGATCATATAGTTGTTTGATATTTCCTTCTACTGCGGCTTTTTCCTGTATCGTTGCCAGTTCTTCCACGTATTTCTGCTTGTTGGCTTTACTGCTCTTCTTCACTTTCTTGATTCCTTCTATGTTACTCAGCTTGTATCTTGAGTTTCTCTGCTCGTGTTCTGCTGTTGTTAATTGCTGTCTTCTTGTTCTTCCTTTCTTTGATCCTGAACAGGGTTTCCACAGAAATCCATTCCTTATGATGATGCTTGTTTAGGCCCACAACCTCCTGAAACGTTGAAGTTAATGATTTTTTGATACCTTCCCAGTTGTCCTCCATAGTAGTTTCTTCTTTATTTCCTAGATCCTGTAAGGCTTGGAACCTGTTTTTGAGATTTATCTTGAATTCGTCGAGTTTGTTAGTATCTCGAAGGCTGTATTGAACCTTTGTAATGCTGTTCCTCCAGTTGTACAGTGTTTCCTTAACTTCAGTTTCATCTTGGTCACAACCAAGTGGTGATTTGAAGCTATGTCAGCTCCTCTCCTAGTTCTTACACCTTCCGTTGTCCTTCCGAATCTCTTATTGACATTATCTAGTTCTTTGTGGTGTAGTCCGGTGAGATCCATGTAACTTTGTGTATGCGTTTGTGTGGAAATATTGTGCCGCCTATAACCAATTTGTTGAATGCGCATACATTTACAAATCTCTCCCCACTTTTGTTTGTCTCTCCCAGTCCATGTTTTTCCATGATATCTTCATATTCCGTGTTGTTTATTCCGACTTTGGTGTTTAAATCTCCCACTAAAATAGTGAGATCCTTTCTTGCGCACTTCGCTATGATTGATTGCAGCTTCTCATATAATTGATCTTTAATGTCGTCGTTGCTATCATTGGTGGGTGTATAACATTGGATAACATTCATTGTAATCCCCTCCTTCTTTGTTTTGAATTATGATTTGATGATTCTGGATCCGTGAGATTCCCATCCTATAAGTGTTTTACGTGCTTCTTTGGACAGCATCAGTGCCACTCCCTGAGTGTGTGGAGCATTTCCCTCTTCGTGACCAGAGTACAGTGGCATCTCTCCCGTATATAGCTTTAGCTGCCCAGCTTGGGTCCAATGGGTTTCACTGATTCCGAGTACCACCAACTTGTATCTCCTCCTTTCCTTTGCTATTTGACTGGTCTTCTCGTTCTACCGCACTGTCAAGACGTTCCATATACCTATAAAAATTGTTGCTCTGGTTGTTAGAAGGGGCATCGGCCTCGTGGCTTCCGAAGAATCTCGGCTTTTTCCGTGAGGCGTCATCATTCTTCCTGCTACTCGCAGGACAAAGTTTGAATGGTCTTATTTGCTTAATCTGGTTGGGGTTTTTTAACAAGATATTTTTCTGCTGGTTAAGATTGTCGATTTCATGCCCAAACTTCCATCTTTACCCGGGCTTGTGACGTTGAGTAAATCTAGAAGATCTACTGGTGGAGTTAGCTGATGACTTTTATATCACAAATAAGTTGATCTCAATATTTAATCAAATAAACACTAATTATATTTATTTCAATAAATGTGTACAATACACTTACCTTTTAAACGTCGGATGTAAATTGAGTACGCGATCACAATCAATGTTTGCTTGATTGATGAATCAAGAACTATGTAAGTATACCTTGAAGTATTTTGGATTTATTGAATAAAGCCATTAATAATAATAAAGCATTTTGGAATAAAAGGGGGAATGGAATGAAGTTCACACGATTAGTCATTTTATGAACTTAGATACTATATAGTGCTCATAGAATATTTTATGCAAAGTTATAAAAAAAGCTGACAATATGAGATTATCTACATCGTTTACATCACAAATCGATTTCAGTTAAATAACTACTGAAAATCAGGAGATATTGGAAAGTTGTTGTATCCCAGTAGGGGATTCAGCAGTGCGCATTTACGATCTCACTGGCAGATTGGACTCAGGATTATAAGGTCTCACAGTGAGCACTTAAACTTTAGACCAGTGAGCCGGAACGCAACAGTTTACATGTTGAAATTCGATCGACTTGCAGTATTACGCAACCATTTATTGCCATTACCGAGTAACTGTCTAATACCCTATATGGCTAAATTCCACTGACTACGGCTTCTCACTAATCTTCAAAAACTCTCGTTAGTAATGATAAGAATAATGTGGTAGGCTTAGCATTCACTAATACTGAGATTTCAATAGATGATAATTTTTAGTTTAGTCGATGCTTGAAAGGAACTCTTATGTTTTCGTCCTCAATATGAATACTCTGTCATGTCTTTTAGTGAATTAATTTTTGGTAATGTCCTACTTAACAAATTTTCAAGTCAATAATTTTTATGAAAGTCGTTTGGCGAGAGCTGATTCATCTAAGTTTTCAGTAGCGGAAAACATACGTAATGGTGAAGGATATAAACTCTGAATTTTTGAATTATTTCTCGTCTACTTCTATATCATATTGAAGTTGACATTGAAATTATTTACATGAAACGGTGTTTGTATGGGATAATTAAATAATATTTTGAGAGGACATTTGTAATTTGATTACTTTGAACTAAACATTATGTTATGTTACACGGGTCAGTGATATAGTAATTCTTCAATATTTCCTTCATTATTAAATCTCTTTCAACGCGTACCTGATGTGTACTGGATTTACGACAACACTTATCAAGCTCTGATTAATGTGAATTGCATTCTGTTATCTTATTATATTAAGTTTCAAAACTACAAAATGAAAAATGTGTAAAAAGACTAGTATGATGTACTAAACAGTTGCCTTATCCTAGTTCGAGACTTTGCAGAAATACACCATCGACATTGAAAGTAAACATTAATATCTTATGGCGAACCAATTAGATCTAAGACAATGGCTCATGGATTTTCATGTGGCGATTCAAAACGCAACGACATATGGCTTTTATCTAATGAAGAATTAAGTGCGAAATACCTAATGCCTATCAATTTTTAATGAATAAGAGGCTTAATGGTGATGAACATGCCAATGTCAAAGTCATTTTCAAAATCACAGTAGTTCTTCAGTAAATATCACCATAAAACTATCGAACATAATTTCGTTTTTGTTTTCGACTGATTCCACTCCTTTCTTTCCGTTTACATGAATGCACATACATTCATTTACTCCACCATTTTTCTGTTAACTTTCAGTTCTCATCGAAAATTTAATAAAGAAAGCGAAAATTATTTTACCATGGAAGGCATTAGATGTGTACATGAAAATAAATTACTATGTGTTTAATTTGGAAAAAGCTAATGAACACATGATACTTCATAAAGATGAAGATGATCAAGTGAACGTGAAGACAACATTAGTGGACGAGGAGGAGGGAGAATATAAAATAATAAACAGAGAAGAAACTGTAATGGAAAACAAAGAGGAACAACAGCGATTCAGTGCGTCAATATCATTAAATGATGAGTTTATTTCGATGGAAAATGAACTTCTCTCATTACAATTAAATGATTCATTTTGTGTAAATAATACAAATTGTTTATCACAGAAATCATTTTTGAGAAAACTTATCATTCGAAGTACACTATCGTCCAACAATGTTAATGATGAATCTAGAAATATTCCAGGTATTAAAAATTTTAATGGTTCTTCTTCAATAATACTCACTGATCAGACAACAGAAACAACAAAAGCGCTACAATCCAGCGAATCAATCACAGCACCATTATCATCCAGATTTGAGACATCATTTGGTGTCAGTGAAATCGGTATAGATGAAAATAAATCATCAATACAAACACCGATAAAAAATACAAAATCTGTGGATAACAAACCAATAATAAATGAAGTAAATACATTAGTGGGTTTTGAAAATACTACTATTGCTACCACTACTTCTAATGCTACTACTTCAGCCACTTCAGTATTATTAACAAGTCCTGATGGCATAATTAGTCAAACTACATTAGACATGATAAAAGATGAAGTGAATGTAAACAATGATGGTGTGGAATCGGATAAACTCATCTCTGAACAAAATAATGAATTAAGAAATTTCCTTGGAAAAATACAGAGTATTAATTCTAGTAAGTAATTATCTTGTAGGTTATAATAAAATGATAATCATAATATTGATTTAAAAGTAGTATTTATCACGGAGTCCAGATGTTTAAGTGGATTACGCGACGGCGTTTGAAGCGAACAACACTGGTTTGGGATCCTGGCGTGAACGTCAACTTTGGGATGCAGGTACATCCAGCTGACTAGTCTCAAATAAGACTAAATGTTCGTCCTAAGTTCCATTGTTATGCACCATCAATCTCTACTTCTAGTCCGTAAAATATTTTCTGAACTCATCACTTCTTCAAGCATTCTTTCTGACACAACAATATGAGTACATTGTGAGCGGAAATTCTACTCTGTATGCTTCGATTTGAACAATTGGTATTTTACAGCGGACAAAAAATCATATGCATATGCCAGTTGCGCTTAATTGTCATGAGTGATTATGATTGAGTGATTACTTACTCACTAATCTAAATTCATAGTCAGATGCCGTCTACTTAACTACTAACTAACTAACTAAACTATCTACTTATCTACTTACCTTCTTACCTACTTAATTACTCAGTTGTGCACTGGCTACAATTCAGAGGAACATAAGCATAGAAGAAGCTAGTGGTTTAAAACTGAGCATTTGAATTGATATTTGATAAATGAGTAATTAGGTTATCAGTAGTATGCTGTTATGTTGCAAGCAAAAGAAAAGTTTTGAATATGTTAACACAAAAATAACACTGCAGTTGTTAAACCAAGAATTTTTGGAATTGGTTTTACAACAAAGTAAAATCATTAGTTCCGTAAAAAATGTTTTTTGAATAGTAAATGAAAAAAATCGGTAATCTATTAGTCTGCAACCAATCTAGTTCTTACTGTTAAAAGTAATCTGTATGATGGCGTGCATTACTTTAATATAGATGCATTAGTTCGGATTTCCAGGACACTATTAATGTGTCTCATTATCATGATTGATCCGAGTACGTAACCACGGGTTTTTGTTTGAGAGGTTATAATATTACTCATAAGCTTCCAAAACCCCGATAGGTAGAATGAAGTATAAATATGCAACTTGTTATGTCCGAGCAAAGATTAAATCACGAGTAACTTCGGAGACATATTAATGGACTGTTATTATTTATATATTCTTATGGTATAACTATTCAATAATTAGATTACGCATGTTTATATTCCTCTTATTATAAACTTCATTTTGACCTATAATTTATTATTATACGATTTACTGTTCTTAAGCTGCCTTCCACGTTCATAACCACTTTTTATCTTTATTGTGTACAAATATTATTTCCTATTTTATGGTGCGTTGCGGTCTGTTTGGTATTTCTGAAATAAATGTTTCGATTCGATTCGATTCACATAGTGGAAGCTGGTATTGGTGTTCTGGACTCAAATGGACGGGCTAGGAGGAAATAGGACCAATAAGGATGCTAGACTGCCCATACCGGTCGAACGTCATTGGTTTGGCACGGTACTAAGATTGTATAAGTCGTATTTTGATTGATGAATAAATCGCGTGATAAAAAGCCGGACATAAAGTCATAACACAACTCACTGGTTGAGAATCAAGCACCGACCACTAAGCTTTCTCATGCTGACCCAAAAACCACTAACAAATACACAGTTTAGCTTACTTTCCCTATAAACTCAGGACATACCATGTACGGGTCAGCATTTCAGTAGGTTATTGAGCTGAGTGTAATTGGTTTTCTCAGATAACCTCTTAGCTCAAAGGAACCATTCTAGAGTTAGGAAGTATAAGACTTGGAAAAAGACAGAAAATAACAATCAAACAACATTAAGTGATTTGATCTCATAATCTAGCTAAGTGTTCATACACTAAAAGGCTTCAGTATAAGTATTCCTTAGTAGTCAATAAACAATATAAAACACTGATTGAAGAATTTAATGATCCTTTATGGAAGCAATTGAAGGTTACTCGTTTTGGTCAACTATATACACCTTACCCATTCAATTTAATGTTTATTAAATATCAAGTAGTAAACAGATCATTTAAATTATAATTGGTCAGTGAGATTTTATTTTATCAGCTCATGGCTATCCCAATGACCATGGTTCGAATTAGTGGGTGACTCGTATAAAAATAACTAATTATTTCTATCGTATGACCTGTACTTGCAGTCTTTAGACTATACTTGTTGTGATTGCTTGCGAGATGAAAACAATACATTGTTCGTTCCCAATATTACTTTTAGATTCTAGCACATCAACACAATAACACTGAAACGACGATACCTATCTGTATAGGTCTTAGGTTATTCGTAAAGTTTTCACAATTGATTAAGTGTGTCTTTCCTTGAATTTTTGATGTAATTTAGTTTCCTGGCTGAATGGTTTATTCGTGGAGCTTTCATAGTTCTTTTAAACAACATTATCAGCACAAAATTCAGGGACTTCCAGTCATTGTTCCCTTTATTTAGCGGAAGAGCGTCGAATATTGAAGTGCAGTATTCACTGAAGACTTTCTTTCAATCTCTAATTTTTATTATATTTGTGCCTTACATTTAGCGTATTGGCTGAACATCTTCATAGCAGACAGTCAAATATAACAACAGCCACTTACAGCGAAAATTGTAATGAAAACAATTCTTTAAAATGAAACATTCTCCTACTGACTGAACTGTGAAGTGAACGAAATTATTAGGTAAGGACATCTATAATGAACGTTGAAAACTTTGTGGATAACCCTAGACGTGTTTGGGGTTTACATTCACATGCATAGTATGTATATGTGCTCATAATTATATAATCAGTAAACCGTCTATCGCAATCAAATGATTTCTTCTCAATTGCATATGACATTTCTTATGAAAACTAATTTAAATCAGTCAAAATATCTATAATGAAATGATCGTTTTATGTTTTTATCCAGATCAAACGGAATTATTGTCACAAATTCTACTGGAAATTATCATGGCAGAGAGAGATGTCACGGAATCAGCTGAATCAATCAAACTTAAAAGTCCGATACTTTCACGAACTATAGCATTAAATACTGGTGTAATATGGACAATACCAATCAAGTTAGTTTACAACTAATAATTTAGCTCATTAGTTTTAATGATCTGAACTCACATTGTCGCTAATAAAAGGACGGTAGCATAGTGTCACATGACGTATCATTACCTTGGACAGACTGGTTGGAAAGACCTAGTGTAATCTTCCACCCATTCGATAAGCACTCAAAGATAACTGGTGCCAATAACTCGGGAATTTTTAATTAAAAATGAAAGAGACCAGAAAAATAAGTAAGCTTGAATAGTACGAAAACATTATATCTCATGGTTTCTTGTCAGCTGCTTACGACCATATATAGATTGCAGCGTAATACTGAGGTATGATATAATGTGCAGCAATTGACATTAATGATAGAAAAGAACTGGAAAAATAAAATTTATCAATGACCACTATATATATATATATATATATATATATATATATATATATATATATATATATATATATATATATATATATATATATATATCTGTGACTGAACAGGTGTGAAGTCATTTGAATATGGAATTCAAAAACAGGAGAGCGGGTGAGGCTGTGGTTAAACGAAGTTCGGAAACAGAACAGGACCGATCGTGTGATAATTATAGAAGTTGTGAAGAACTTACACAAGATTCAGATCATTTGAAAACAGATATAGAGGACCTAGGGCAGTAAGGTAGTGATGGTTTATAGTTAGAAATTGATAAGGTGGGTTACACATTATAGTTAAACAGGATTTGAAGAGTTTACGTAATTTTACAGAACTAAGTGCATGAAAAAGCCGATGAACAAAGTGATGATTTTGGTGTGAAGTAAAAATAGCAAAATAAGAATTATTTTGACGAAGACCACATAACAAAATAAATAACTCCAGGTGAAACTAGTCAAAGCTGTGAATCTACCAAGGTAGTGATAATTGGATTAATGTCTCTTTCTGGATACATAAAGCAGGTTTGAGTTTCCCTATTGTTACTGCTTCGGCAAACCAGGGACACTGTGCTTTTTTATTTGCTAATATTTTTGAAGCGTTGTAGAATACCGTTGGTATGCCAGATATCAATTAAATGACGAGCTTTCGCACTGTTTAGAGTCGTTGTGCCTCACAGTTTCGAATTTTTTGGAGTGTGCTCGGATATGCGAACACGTACTCTTCTCTCTATTATTTCAATGTATGTGCTTTGGTACGTACACGTAATTTGGTACATGCAGTTGCAGGTACTGAGCAAAGATGACCAGTCAATTTTTTTTGTGTTAGCAGTTCATTTGGCATAACGTTGTCAGTCTTGCTGATGGATAAACAACCTTCATCGTGGTATACGTCCTGTAGTTAATTATTCCAGTGATTCCATCTCATTTGTAGCGCAGATATAAAAAGTAGGTCTTCTTTCCAACTGTAGCGTAGTTAACACGTAAGTTGGTTTCGGCATACTTCTCGATGAATTTCACTGGATATGCATTTCACATGGGCAAGATTTAATGATGGCAAGCTGTCCTTCCAGGCTTTCCTTGAGCGACGTTTACGGGAGCGGTCAAAAGTGGTTCGTAAAATCTCCTTTTCGTAATTTTTCGGACTGAGTATGTTATAGTTTAGATAAATTCCACTCCACTCCTTAACTTATATTGAATTATGATGAGATTTCGTCTATAGTAATTATTAATATAATTTACAAATGAGAATACAAAACACTTAAAATTCGAAATAACTAAATCACTAACCATTTGATTGATTTTTGTTTAGTTTGAATGTGAAGTTAAGTTCCTTCCATTTTTTGTAAATAGCACTAATGAACAATTTTATAATGAATTAAAATATTGGCCAAATTCACCTATATTTCAACGTGTATACGATTCACATGATTTGATATTTTGGGTACGGTTAAGAATGAATGAAGGTGAGATATATATAAATATACCATTATTAAAATAAATCTTTCATCAGGGTAAAGGCTTTTGTGGCAATCGCTAAATTCGTTTTAATTTCTACTACGAATTTACCTTAGTTAATTGAAAACTAGGGAGTTTCATATGCTTGTTTCATTCTATAAGGGAACTCTTCAGTAGTTCCAGTCCTCAACCTGGTTTATAGAAATGGTTGCTTAATGCTGCGAATCGAGTTAATTTCGACATGTAAACTATTAGTTACTAGTGTAGTGAACAAGAACACGGGTGGGGACAATCGAATGTATTTATCACAACAGTTACAGACTATCTCAACAAAATCTGAATACCATATAGTAAATCGTCAATTTGCAAAATATTCATGCATCAAATCAAACTGGACCGTTTCTGTTGCAAACACCAATCCATTGTCTCCCATTCCATTGTGTTATGACCTTGGGTATGTCTGGTTTTACTATCACGCGACCTATCTACCAATCCGGATACGACTTATACGAATTTCACACTAGGCCAACCAATGACGTTCAACCGGTGTGGGCAGTCTAGCGTCCTTATTGGTCCTATGTACTACGAGCCCTTCCACTTGAGTCCAGAACACAATACCAGCTTCGAATCAGAGCAGATCGTTTATTTCAAACATACTCGGTTTATATATCAAACAGACAGACCACAACACACCATAAATTAGGAAATAACATATGTACACAAATAAGCCAAAACGTGGCTGTGAACGAGGGGGACAGTAATTAATAGACTGAACATAGTTTAAGAACCGTAAATCGTACAATAATAAATTATAGATCAAAATAAAGCTTATAATAAGAGGGATATAAATATACATAATCTAATGATTGAATAGTTTTACAATAAGAATATTTATAGAATATTAGTCCACTAATAGTCCTCGGGAGTTAGCTGTAATTTAATCTTCGCTCGGATATAACACATTGTTCATGCGTTTTCTTACAAATTCCACTGTGTTCTCGCTCTACCTTTCTTGATCTTCGCCATCTTCTGCTGCCAGACATTACGTTCTTTTAACGCACATTATATACTACTTATATCAATATACGTAGCTTACACCACACTGGTTCAGTCGTCTAAAGTCTAAGCGCTCTCTGTGAGAGGTAAGGATCTTGGGTGTGACTCCTCAGTGAAGTCTTGAGTGCGCACTGTTGCATCCTGTTTTACGATGAAACGAATGTCCAATTCTTCTTGGTTCTCAATGGTTTTTGACTAAGATTAATCCGTGATGGAACTAAGATTTTTTTTCAGTCTTGTTATACTAAAATTGTTATGTTTATTTTGAAAATGAGACTCATTACAGCCTTGCTTTGCGTAATATTACTTTCCGTCAAAAGTACTCGTTATAGTTTTTCAACTACGAAGTTGATGACAGTGTAGTGTTCGTGTTGTATCGTGTGACTGCAGATTAGACGCGCCGCATATTTATCGATCGGATCAATGACACGTAAAACACGCACAAACGACCTAGAGTCCCGATTGGCCCTGCTTCGCTGTCTAGTCCAGCCAGTTGAGTCCAGAACACAAGTCTCAGCCTCTGAGATATGAATCGTTATATTTCAGACATACTCTGTTTATATACCAAACAGAAAACAACATTTGTACAATTTTTAACAAGTGGAATAAATATTGACAAATAGGGAATGTTCATTTAATGTCCAAGGACACCATTAGACTTAACATGATAATTATTGGTATATTTTTCTGCATATCCTAACATGTTGTAACAAAGAAAAGTTTGTATAAGTTTTCACAGCCTGGAACAACAAGGTTTTAATCAATGGATCATATTTATGCATAGTGTGTGACAAGAGACTCCCCAGTTGTCCCAGTGGAATTTGATGGTTTTCTTGGGATATCATCTGCAGTGGAGTCAACCAGGAGTTTGATTCAAAGTAACATCTTCAGATTTCATCTGTTAGTACCCAATAACCGAATAAGATACATAAGTTATTTTTAACCTCATGATCCTGAAGCTTTTGTGGAATCAAGGTATTCTAACTTCTCTGCGTAGAATCATTGTAACCATCAACCAAGTTTAAGAGCAACTTTTCCATTTTTTTCTGTTTAATTTTTCATAGAGAGTAATTAGTAGGACGTTTCTAATAGAAGCTGTAAACGCGTTGTCAAAAGAAGGTTAATCGAAAAAGAGAGGGACAAAAAGAATTCTCTCTGTACTTATCTATCAAGTGACAATCACATATTTCGTGTTTTTTTTATACTTAGAATAAGATTTCTCCAAGGAGTATTGATTATTATAATTTTTGTGAGTGTTTTTTCTCAACGATTGTGGGTAAATTTTAAAATAATTTTTCATGCAGAACTACAAAATACCAGAGAGCGCTGTATACCTTTATCGACTTAAAGTGAGTATATTTTATCACGCCACATTTGTAAGCTTTTGAATCTATAGACTTCAGTGGTTCTTCAGCCCTTGGCATTTCATATTTAAAACTTGTCTTCGAAATTACACTTATTGTCATGAAATAACTTACGCTGGATCTTGACTGATAAAGTTCAGTGGTGTCGGGGAATGGAATAGCAGCCACCAATGAGAGCACTAAATTATTGTTGTGTTACATCCTGAATGAATTGAATTTGAGTCCTTAGATCATTTTAACTCAGTAACAACTTGAACTAAGCAATTGCCTAAAAAACTGAAGGTTCCGGATTCGATTCATCGGGCGGTCGTTAGTATGTACTGCTGGAGATCCTTTACTGTAATAAAACATGTCTAGTGATCATAATGTTTGATGAAAGACACCCAGAAATACTGATAGTGATTCTAGTTTCTTTTAAAACTGTCTGTTTTGTAGATTCTAGTAAACCGAGAGGAAATCCGGTCGTCACAGAAGACAATAGTAATTCTTTATTACAAAGTAACACTAAACAAATAATTGACAATGATACCATTAATATTACTGCACAAACCAGTGAAAATCAGTTACACGTAACACCAACAACAACAAAGTCAACAGTAAATAATACCGAGGAAGAGCAAAATGTGAATCAAGTTGACGGTAGTAAAAATATTCTCAACAGGGATAAGGTGATAGATGATCATAAACATTCACATATTGAAATTGATGAATCATTTCTAACAGTTAATGACGATGAATCTATTGAAAATGTGGAATCAATAAATCAAATTATGATGAATAGTCAAGATAATACTGCATTACCAGTGACTATATTTACATCGATTACAATTACACAAGGACCAAATGTCTATAAAGCTGGAGGTAAGATTAATATTAAATCTGTTTTATGAATAGGTGAAATAAGGTCATTTGTTTCACTATATTATTCAAATGTTCGTAAAAATTCTTAGAAGTTATTTATACCAGACTCGTCACTCATTTTTTAAACTGAAAAATGTTTTGTTAGAGTTATATACTTAGACAACTTTTCTGGATACAGTTTGTCGATAGTCGGATGTGATAAAACGCTAGACACGTCAGATGTTTTCACCAGCAAATTAGATTAATTGTTTTCTTAGACTGACATTATCTTCAAAGTCTTCATATGTAGTAGAACTCTGTATTATTTTAAACGAACCACTTTTTAATCTCTTATTTTCATATACAGTAGTCAACATTTTGTGAATTTCTCAAGAGGTTTTCACAACTTCAACAAGAACCTTAGTTTATGTTACCTATTTATTGGACAGATATTGAGCATGTTAATTGAAAAGTTGGATTAGACAGGTAATAATCGAAAATAAAATTGATCAGTTCTAGCATAATATAGACGATAATTTATGGTTCATTACTGTGAAGACTTCATCAGCTTTAAGTTAATCAAATCTTCAAAAAAAATTTCATAAAGTGATTTTAAAAGAAATTGGATATATTAAATATGTTTATTTTTCGGTGAGAATACTTAGTAAGTAGCAGATAGATATTTCAGTCAATCATTTGTTCCCAAATACTTGAAATATCAACCAAAAGAAAATCTAAACAAATAGATAGTTATCCTGACCTATTTACCAAGACTATAAAGTATTTGTGCTCAGAGCAGATATGTCTTTTGGGTTTGAGTTCCAGTAATAGCGTCAATAATGTGTTAAATGTTCATCCACCTAATGAATCCTAAGATGAGATAAAATCCGCTCTCTGAAATCCTACTTCTGGTCACTATTGAAACTGAAGAGTTAACAGGGTATTTTATAATTGAGGTGGTGAAGAAAATTTGTAGCTCAGGTAGATGATTTTGCTGGAGTTTTGTTCTCTGACCAGAATAGTTTGGTCATGGAGTTTTCATCGTTTTCCTGTACAACATCATCAACAAAAACGTCAGGTAGAAGCGAAGTATTTGACCAGAAAATATTTGACAATTGCTTTTTACTGATGCTTTAATGAAAAGCTGTGACTTGTGGATTTCAATCTTGCCACGAGTGACCCAACTAGCTGTGGAATAATAAGATTGAAAATGGTAGGAAGCTTTGTCCTAAAAAAAGGATGAATATGTACATTATTCAGGATTATAACCATACGTGTATTCATTGACCTAGATAGGTACATGTCATCTATGACCTTGACCAGACGCATAATACAATTATTTCAGTAGTATTTCTAGTACTTGTAAACCAGTTAAAATTGAGAAAGCAATTTCAGTGTGTTAGTACCTACAGAAAACCAAGATATGAGCTATTGACTGTATGGTAATTAACCTCAGTGAAAAAACATTGACAAATACGTACTACAAGTTGAATTGAGAAAGCACTCATTTGAGAAAATGGGGAAACGCAATAGTGTCAATAGTTATAAGCATTGTCGAGATGGGGTGATATTTCTTAACAAAGTTGGTTGTTGCTTTAAGTTTGGATAAGAGTTTGGAAATAAAGTGTATCTGTATAAACAACTTCGAAATGATGACAAAATGAACTTTAATATATTTTGACTGTTTATCAGTAGTGTAAAAGATAATGAATTCTACGTTAAATTCTTGAACTTTGTATCACAATTCATTCACTCATATTCACAGTTCACGTATTGGTTAAATGGATTAGAACTTTCTCAAGGTCATTCCAAGAGCCCCATGTTTGTAAATATGCTTTAGCCTAACCTTCTTATCGAATGTTTTATCCGTGTCCACTATTATTGATATCTTAAATCGAAAACTACTACAATCCTCACAACGCGATATAAGGGCTCAAAGACTGTTACAAGTAAAGATTTGTTCATCCAAAAAATCTGACGGTCCTAGTCGAAAATAAGCTCATTTATATATTCGTCTGTATACCCATTTGATTATTATTTACAAAAAGGTCACATAAATCAAATTATAACAAGATTGCATGTTGCATTTCATGCTGAACATAGTTCACGTTAATTGAATACAAAGTGCCCCCGAACGCCCTGGTACGGCTGAGAGTGGGGAGAGTCCGCTCTCCCTCTCGAAATGCTCCATATGGCCACGAGTATGTAGTACCTGCCAGGGAAGTCCTACTCATTGAGGGGGTGTTGTTTACGGAATTGAGAAGACGAAAAGCGAACGTCCGGCGCTTTAACCGGGTTAGTGGATTTGGAGAGTCCACCTTGGGGCATTGGAAAACCCTGATTCCAAACCAATGGTGCACATGGGCTTTAGTATTCTGAAGGAACAAATGGCGTAGGAACCAATCTTTGGTCACTGGCTACCATGGGACTTCATCTCCTTACGTTGCTCCGCTGCCTTGTGGATCAGACCTTTAGGTTGAAAGTTCCGGGTGTGGCCCCCTAGAAAAAAAAGCCTGGTTCGGCCCACGCACCCGGACAGAATCCCATCCCTCACACATATCAAATGAGATCTGTGTGGTGCATATGTATTTGGTGCCTCCTTGTACCAATATCTGTGTTAAAATAAATAAATTAATAAAAAAGAATACAAGGAACATTATATCTTGAATAAACATTAAAGAAATAAATCAGTGTTATATTGAATAAAATATCACGCCGAAATTAATTATTACACTGAGTAGTTAGCATATTGAATTAAAAGCGGAAGTAATGACAAACAAGTATCTCATTGAACAAAAAACGTAATTTTGCTTCTTTATCCCGTCGTTTCACCTACCTTGCGGCCTTATGATTCCATGTGATTTGTCTGACTTTTTACAATAACAAGAGTCTTGTTTGAACTATTGTGAATTATTGGATTCTAAATCACAATTGCCCAGAAATATTGTACCATAGGCTTGACCTAATAACCTTAATTTCCTTTCTTTTGCAAGTTCATAGGTGTTCACTGTTGTGGAGTCTATTGAATGTTCTCTTGCTTTCCTATATTTTTCTATGATACATCAAATCTTTATTTAAATTATCAGAAATTTCGCCACAATTAAGTATCAACGTTGTTTAAAATTGACATGTCTCACTTTTAGTCTGTTTTTTACGTTTTATATTCCTTATATGTATAAAACAACATATTATAGTTATGGGTATAACTCTGGAACCAGATTATTTATCTGAACAGCTAAGTATGATCCCAGAATGTTCAGTTACACAATCGAACAAATTATGTTATTTACTAGAAGATGCAGCTAACATAATTGCTGTGAACAACAAATTATTATATTATCAGGTAAATCTGAATATATGTTTAGATATTATTTGTGTTTTACCATGTCTATTCTGATACCGATATGCACAAGCTTTCCATATGCATACCCAAGCGACTGCTTGAATTGATGGACTGTGAATGAGAATGATGCTTTATTGGTTAAACCAATTTTTCTATATTTGTCGCTTAGATATTCAACTCACGTGTCGAACCAAATGGGATGTGTCCCGTCCCGTAATAAATGAAAACATCTTTTGGTCAATATCTTATACTTACCATCTGGTTGATATCTAAATGATTCACTGAACCAGTATTACCCATATATTTTACACTTTAGTCATCATGTTTCCGTTCAAATGTTTCATGCTTAATTTCATTATATTAATAGTTAACAAAGAAAATCATTTGTGTTATATCCCAGTGAAGATTAAAGTACGAGTGACGTCTGAGACCTAATAATGGACTAATATTATCTATATATTCTTATTGTATAACTTTTCAGTAACTAGGTTATGTTTATTGATGTTCCTCTTATTATAAGCTTCATTTTGAACTATAATTTATTATTATCAGAATGGGTCTTGTGGAGATCTTTAGAAATTCCACTGGTTGAAATCATGAGTTAATTGAAGCTAGACAACCGTGGAAAACCTGGGAGCACTGGACGGCCGTTTCGACGCCATTGTCTTCAGTGATCTCCTATCTCACAACAGACCTGGTTGAACTTCACTGGTAACGACTTCTCACTAGAACTCCAGGAGTGTCTCCTGAAGTTAGACATTAACACCGTTAGATCCCGGCTCAGTGGACTAATGGTTAAGTACTCGCGTGCGAAACCAGTAGGTCTTGGGTTCGAATGCCGCGGGATCGTCGATGCGCACTGTTGAGAAATCCCATACCCGGACGGAACGGCCGTCCAGTACTTCCAGGTTCTCCATGGTGGTCTAGCTTCAATTGACTCATGATTTCAACCTATAGTTTATTATTATACGATGTACTGTCCCTAAATTATGTTCAGCTTATTAACTACTGTCTCCCATGTTCACAACCACTTTTTGGCTTTATTGTGTACAAATATTATTTCCTATTATATGGTGCGTTGCGGTCTGTTTGGTTGATATATAAACCCAGTATTTCTGAAATGTTTCGATTCGATTCACATAGTGGAAGCTGGTATTGGTGCTCTGAACTCAAATGTACAGACTAGGAGGATTGATAACTTCACGTAATGAAACTTAGAAACAATAATCTATTGTCCAAATAACTCTGTAATACCATCTTTGTTTGCTGGTTTGAAGGATACTAAATTTAAACCTAGCATGGCTTTCATGATTATTTCAAAGTTTCACAAAAAACGTAGCATATGCAAAATGGTAACAAGCATTGTAATCTATGTCTTAAGTATTTTTTCAGGCTTGAAAGTCCTAGATTCGATTCACGTCGGGTACGTGGGTGGTCACTGTTGAGGAGTCCCGTTCTCGAACGAAATCATTACCTAATCTTTTCTGGTTTTCGATATTTTTCTGACCAGAATCAGTTTGCGATGTGAAATTTCAAATTTTTCTAGACAGTTGTAAGCAAACGTCAAATAAATAATGCCTACCTTTTGATTCCTTTGGTCGGTAGTGTAATTTATCGCTAATGTTCTAAACTATTTGAACGTTTTTTAGTGATCGCTCATTAAGTCAATAGAGTTTGTAATTTGAGTAATGTGGTAAACTTTGAAAATAATCCATTGTCCTTTTTATCGTTTTGTTTGAAATTCTCTGAAGAAAGTAGAGGCGCAACGCGATGTACTAACCAGTTGTAGACACCTTATTATGGCTTGAAATCGATGATCGGTATCACGTGTTATAGTTACTAATGTGACTTCTAATCACGATTTTTTTTATGACATCTACCGTTTCTTCTGTTGCCTATTTCCCTAGACTTGACCAGTTATACGTCTGACCTGCACCATTGACCTTGAGCAGACATAAGCTAAGCTCCTGTAGTGTCAATCATTATTTTAAGACCATAATATGTCCTATTCTAGTTTTTGAACAAACGAATCGATTCATTCTACTTGAGTCATATTTTGACCTTGTCAATTATTCGCTTATCAGTCTTCACTATTTTTATATGAGCGTATATATATGTACACTTCATATCCCATATCTGTAGTTTACTTTGTCTGTCTACAAATATTGAGTAACACCTGCCTAAAAAAGAGTTGGCTTACCAGCCATCTCTCCTGCGAGTCATTTTGCCTTGTTCTATTGCATTGACTTTACATACAAAATATATGTATTCAAAGGCCATTCTCGTTAATTGAGTTATTTAAATTCCGTTATTGACTAACGTGATTTAAGTCGATGATTGTATACTAGGCTAGGTGATAACAAACATTCGTACGATCTAAATGGAGTCAGATCAACGGGCCACTAAATTGGTGAGCCCTTTCGACAACATCGTTCGATCTGAATGACGACAAAACTACGGGCCCCACCAAACTCTTATTCATACTCTATACTCAAGCCTTTCTCCATCCTTTTCCTAGACGGCAAAGAAAATTAATTAGCCAGTTTTTGTTTTACGCTGTTCAATTATGACTCAAAATGCACACAATAATTTAAAGTACAATCGTGACCACACATCAGTATAATTAAGAAATTACATTAACTCCATGAGGGGAAGCCAACTAAGTAATAAGTCCGTGAAAAACTAACAGTAACTTAAGAAAGGTACAGTACACATTAACAGTGGATCATGGAAAAGCTTACAAGTAATATAATGCAGAAATACGATAATATAAGCACTTAATAATTAAAGGACAAGAAATAAACGTGAATTTTAGGTAGGACAGTTTTGAAAATTCGACTCCTCCAATACTCGGCCTGTTATAACGCAGAGCTTAGTGTATAAACAGAGTATTTTGTCAATTAGTTTTTGTTGATGGTATTACGTGACCTTCCATCGAGGCAATTAGTGAGAAGCTATATCACTTGTGATATGGTTAAACTTCACTGGTTACGTTTTCTTATTAGAACTCCGGTAATAACTTGAAGTTTCTTACTTGTGAACACTTGATCATTATGAGTATGTGTTCGCGTAGATTGTTGAATATAATACATCACGAACCAATCTTAGATAACAAGTAAAAAACGAGTGAACACAATCCAGCTATTTCGTCCTGGTACGGGAATCGTTAGGATTGCACACACTTGTGATGTTGGTTGCAATGTTAAGTTCACAGAACTTATTCTAGCTTTCGGACAGACCAGTTTATTAATTGTTCCTGAGTGACATTTGACCTTGTTAATTGTTTGCTTATCAACTTTGACTGTTTTCATATGAGCGTGTGTGCACTTCTCATCCTATTCACCACATGTCTGTAACTTATTTTTGTTCGACTATAAGTATTGATTCACGCTTGGCTAAAATGAATTGACCCACTCACCTTCTCCATTGCGCGTCATTTTGTTTTGCTTCGCTTTCCGATCAACGGTTTTACGAAATATACGTATTTAAAAATCCATCCTCGTATTAGACTTATTTAATTCCATTATTCACTAATGCAAGTATATTTCTGTTAATTCTATCGAAGCGTCGAAGTAACCCCGATTGAGATACGCGCAAAATCGAAGTTCCAAAACAACGATTTGTCTACAAAAGCGGTTCTTTATTAAATAATACACAAAATTTAGTTACAAACCTCAACTTGTGAGGTGTCTAGGCGTTTAAACGCGTCGTTCAAGAATGAAAATAGCAAAGGCTTCCTGTAAGAGTAACATAAAGAATGATTACAACATACGATAGTCCTAAGACAGCCGATAGCTGTGTCTAAATTTGGTAACAGTTTATGAACAACCGAAACTCGAACCAGGAGCAAACAATATGGAAACTGTTGCATCCAAACAAATGCATAAAAATGTGGATAACCGTTACAGTGATTAAATTACAGTGATTATAATGATAAATACAATGACAAGTAAAATAAACGTTAAAGATATAGGTGAACATTTCAGAATGTTGCAGTACAACCTGAGTTACAACATAATTGTGAAAATTGTTGGGCATACAACTGCTTACTGAATATAAATAAGTAGTATAAACCAACATACAAAAGAGTGGAAAAGGAATGAGCAGAAGCAATGTAAAACATACTTAACAATTTCAATAACAATCACAAACGATCTAATTGAAGTCAGATATAGGGCCACTAAACCCTCGGCCCCACCGCGGATAGAACCCAAGATTTTCAGATTTCGAAGCTAGTGTTCAGCCTAACCAACTTATGTCAGCCAGTGGTATAAATTGTCACATTTAATGTTCTCCCCAAACCTGTCATTATAATATTTTCTGTTCATCTGGATATATCTGGAAGTGTTCTTATGCTTCTTTTTTTCTGCAGCTTATAAACAACAAATATCTCATAAACTTAATATTACAACTAATTATATGTTTAAGGTGGATAAAATATAAATAGTTTACTTTCCTTTATCTTACAGATAGGTCAATTCCTTGGATATATTGATCCAGATCTAATGAATTCTTTAGTTCAGAATCATGTTTATGGAGTGTAAGTTGTTTTCACAGGTTTTATTTTATTTTAATATTTTATACTATTTCACAAATGTACTAACCGTTGTACTTCAAAAAAAAATCGACCAGTTGTAAGGAATAACAATAACATTCTGTGATAACTGGGAGTAGAAACCAAGGGTGTTAGGCAGTTGGAGGCAGTCGTTTAAACTAAGATTTTTCCGTATCCAGAAAAAATAAACAAAGTTCGTTGTATACCTGGGATTGATTTTGCAATGAACGAAAACTCAGGTATGGGTATACCGATTTATTGTCTTAAGTCAAATAACACTCCGTTTTTAAATATAAAAATCATACGTTAATTACATTGTTTGAGAATCTTCCTTCATTTATCTTTTAAATACTACATCAATCTTCTAATTGTGTTGTTATTTCGACTGCTCTTTGACTTTTTTCCTGTTCTATTTATTTCAACCTTCTTCTGGTAAACGCTCCACTTCCGATTCCTGCTACATACTGCTTATGTCTGTCCGCATAAGCAGCGCACACCACAATTTGACTAGATTTCTGATATAGATGGATTGTTATTATTTTCTCAGATGCTTAGCTTAGTGAAAACAAATAAATTAGTTGGATGAGTCTAAATTGTAAATTAATAATGCAAGGGATTTATGGATGATTTTTGAACTAAGGTTAGTCCGTGGTGTAAAATAGAATTTGAGATTAGTGTCCAGATTTTACAAGAGAAAATATATAACGGGTAGGTTCCTAACGATAATAATAATAATAATAATAATAATAATAATAATAATAATAATAACAATAATAATAACGGTAATAGTAATAATAATAGTAGACCATTGACTAGTGAATTCATGAATTGTGGTGATCATCTTACTCCTGCCAACACAGTACATCTAAATGGACAGAGTGATTAGTCATGCTGAAATAATATCTAATTATTTAAGCCTGAAACTTGATCGGTTTATCTACTGGATCAAGTCTTCTCACATTCTGTGGCTTCAATGTTTTGTCCCATTACTTATATAAGAGATTTCCTAAAATCCCTGGTAAAAAAATATTTTCAATAGTTGAATTCATGAGTCAATTTAAGTTAGACCACCATGGAAAACCTGGAAGCACTGGACGTCTGTTTCGTCCTAGTATGGGACTCCACAGCAGTGCGCATCCACGATCCCGCACCCCGCGAGATTCGAACCCAGGACCTATCAGTCTCGCGCGCAAGCACTTGACCATTAGACCACTGAGCTGGCTGAGGATTCCCATATTAGGACGAAACGGCCATCCAGTGCTTTCAGGTTTTTCATGGTGGTCTAACTTCAATTGACTCATAATTTCAACTATTGAAATTTATAAAATCTCCACAAAACCCTTTCTGATAAAAGAAATATTTGTTATTAGAATGGGTTTTGTGGAGATTTTAGAAATTTCACAGATTGAAATCATGAGTCAGTTGGAGCTAGACCACCATTGAAAACCTGGAAGCACTGGACGGCCGTTTCGTCCTAGTGTGGGACTCCTCAGCAGCGCGCATCCACGACCCCGCACCACCCGGGGCTCGAACCCAGGACCTACTGGCTTCGCGCGCGAGCACTTAACCATTAGACCACTGGGCCGGCATCCAATGGTGTTAATGTCTAACTTCAACCAATCCACGAAGTTGCGCTACCGTACACCATTGTCCTCAGTGAGTTCCTATCTCACAACAGACCTGGTTGAACTCCACTGGTAACGACTTCTCACTAGAACTCCTGAAGTCAGTCACTAGTGAGCAGGTGATTATTATTATCAGAATGGGTTTTGTGGAGATTTTAGAAATTTCACAGATTGAAATCATGAGTCAGTTGAAGCTAGAAATTTTTAAAATCTCCACAAAACCCATTCTGATAATAATTAACTGCTCACTGGTGACTGACTTCAGGAAAATCTCCCGAAGTTCTAGTGAGAAGCCGTTACCAGTGGAGTTCAACCAGGTCTGTTGTGAGATAGGAACTCACTGAGGACAATGGTGTACGGTAGCGCAACTTCGTGGATTGGTTGAAGTTAGACATTAACACCGTTGGATGCCGGCCCAGTGGTCTAATGGTTAAGTGCTCGCGCGCGAAGCCAGTAGGTCCTGGGTTCGAGCCCCGGGTGGTGCGGGGTCGTGGATGCGCACTGCTGAGGAGTCCCACACTAGGACGAAACGGCCGTCCAGTGCTTCCAGGTTTTCAATGGTGGTCTAGCTTCAACTGACTCATGATTTCAATCTGTGAAATATTTGTTACCCAAATAATATCTCATCTTATTAAGACCAAGAACTGAAATATGTTGGACAAGCGTTAGAATTAGAATAGTCATCACAAAACATTAAAACCATTACGTAATAAGAGGTGAGTAAATAATTAGATAGTGAAGAATACAAACTGAAAGAGGCGAAAATTACAAGCAAATACTGGATGTGAAAATAAGGTTAATGATAACAAAAATAAAATAAAATAAAGGGTCGTTTGTTAAGTTATAACTGGCCACGGAGGGGTTGGGGGGTTTACGAAGTCATTCTGTACAAACAAATTGGGGTTAAATGTACGAATTCCTGTGGCTTTAGCCATATGTAGGAGACAGGAGCGAACTCCGTTGGAAAATGATGGCGGAATACGATAGATCACTCGAAATGCTTCCGATTTATCTACACTGTGACTGCTATCAATAAGATGTGCCGAGATAGACCTGCGTATTGTTTTTGTCTGGCCCTTTATAAACCAAGCTGACGGATGTTCACTCATTCGTTGGTTAAGCTGCCTAGTAGTACGCCCGGTATAGCTATCTCCACAGGAGCAGCTAAATTTGTAAATGCACATTGAGGAGGCCAACTCAGGTAACTTATCCTTCGTCTGAGTAAACATCGCTGGTTGATGTGGCTAGCGATACTCTAAAAAATAGGTTAACGAAAGTAATTAGCGGAACATTCTACACAGTCAATCTTGCGTGTTGACTTTCTCGAGTCGATAAATAACGTTTAGCTACTTTTCTCCTTACAAAAATCATCTGGCTATTAATATCTTCACTACAAGGTGTTTTGATACGTCATCATGAACTTTGTATATCTGATAAATGGCTAAGAGTAAAATCCAGAACGTCAATTGCGTCATATTTGAAACTTGTTTTAATTGAATGTACTTGGATCACAGTGTTGATGTTCAGACTGAGAGACTCAAAACAAGTGCTTATTGCTGCAGTTCTGAATATCAGCAGAGGGCGATAACAAACCCTTACTAACATCATAAACTTAGAATGGTTTAATTAATTAATATTAACTAGAAATCTTCATAAAACAGGGGCTATCTACACGTAGATCAAGTTGCATGTCAATCTAACTTTTTTTATTATCGGTAGCCAGTTTTCAGTAGTTTATTATCGAAATACTCTGATCCACTTTGATTTTATTCTTTTGATGCAAATCATTAAGGTATAACTCAAGAAAAAATTGGTTTTTAACTAATATTTCTTAAATCGCTGCTAGGTAAAATTTTACACTAACCGTTGAGAACAGATTAAATTTTTATTTATTAACATGTAAAACATTTAACTTTATAGTAATTAAACTTCTTTTTTTTCTTTTCAAATCCATTTGTCCATTTCATATTGAATTTAGTCTGAAGGATTACGATTTCGAAGGTACATGTTATCCGAGAGAAGACATGCTTGAGACGACTTCTCCTGGAATACACCCAATACCGGTAGAATACTTCGATATCATTTTAACTAAAAAAACTTTGTTTTGTGAAGGGTATTTTAAATCAGAATTAATATTTCCGTTGAATCTTAAGCAAATGAGTTCTTAAGATAGCTTCCGACCTATTTTGTTGAAATATCGTAGTAGAAGCTTGATGGCAGCCTTTTCTTCGGACAAAAGACCATGAATAAAAGACACGTATTAGTAGACTAAGTGGAGTAAAGCCAATTGTATTAGTCAGGCTATATCATTGATCAAGATCAAGGGCGCTAAGGTGTAGATGGGATAGCGTATGCGGGGTAGAAAGATTATCAGTATAAGAAGATTTGTGGAAATTGTAGGATTTTCATAGATTGAATCATGAACTAATCTTAGCTACACCACCATTAAAAACCTAGGAGCAGTTTCGCCTCATTAAGAGACTACTCAAGAGTGGGCGTCCACGGCCCGACATCCGGGAACTGAACTCAGGATATTCATTCTCGCACGCAAAAATTTAACTGTTAGACCACTGAACTGACATCTAGTGGTGAACATATCTGACTTCAATAGAGATCTGGTTACAAGAAAATTATTACCGAAATTCTTATTGGTGAACCTAACAAGTTATATCAATCAAACCGCTCGAACATAGCAGTTGACTGACATAACTTTTATGATTATCAGAATGGGAGTTGTGGAGGTTGTTGAACATTTTTCGCGATCACCAACTGACCTCAATTATTCTCAATTTCTTTTCATTTTAATAGTCTATCCTTATGTACACACAAAGTTTGTTCAATGTGCGTATTTGGTTGGATCGATTATTGACAATCGGTTCAGTAAGTGTATTTATTACCAGGTAAGTTTAGTTGTCTATGAACTGTAAAATATATATACTATTTATTTACTGAACAGTACTAACTATAAGTAAATAAAGTCAATGTGATTGTCTGCTTACTTGTTGGTAATCGAATAATGTCGATCAAGTAGTACTATTTAACCAAATACAAATCTAACCGATCTGACTTGTAAGTAAAATTCGTTTGATGTTATATCTTGAGGTAAGCGGAATCAAGTAACTATAAACACTCATATCCAACGGTGTAACTAAAATCAATATATCAAAAACAATAGTTAGATCGGTACGATCACAGTGTGGTACGATATAAAACTAGTCATATATGGCGTACATTAGCCTTCTCTCCCGGGCCAATCACAGTATTATATTGTCTGGTTTTTTCACAAATTAACTAGTTCTTTTTAATTTCCTAGAAGTATTTCAAGCTAAAACATTTAGAAACTTGTTTTAACTGTTTAGAAATTCAATTTGGTTTACTAATATTTCTTTCAAATTCTCTATATATCGATTGTACAATAGTTAAGTCAGTCAGTCAGCTATGCACAACGAAGAACATGGTACATAAGCATATCATTTCAAGCTGATGCACCACATCAGCACAATGAGGTGAAATTATCAAGATAAGTGTTATAGTATTAAAAGCAATAGCGGTATTAGTACTATTAAAAAAATTAGTTGTGGACAGTATGATTCAAGAAGAAAGAATGAATTTCTCTGCAAAAAATGTAGATTATAATTTTTGAGATTATGATAAATGAGGAGATAAACAGTAAGTACGTTCGTACGATTCAGAACTATTCTGAACTGTATCGCTCAGTGTCTTCAGGCATTGATTGAGATGATCGCTCATGCCCCAACCAGGTAGACTGCATCTATCGACATATCTCAATCCAGCAGTGAATGACTATGAACTTATTCCACTCATTGATTTTTCTACGTTTAAGATTTTTTAAACCTTTTACTACACCAGCAAATATAGGGAATCTATTTACACGGTGGCTCCACATACATACAATTCCCAACTACCTTAGTCGATGAAGATCCACAACCTTATCAACCAACTTATCTATTTACCTAGCACTCTAACAATAGTGTTGTACCTATTGGCATTTTTATCGATATGACCAATTTCTAATCTACTGAATTTCAGTTTTTAATTTTAATTTCATTTTAGAGCATTTATCGTGGGAATAATTAGAGTAATAGGTAAATTTAAATATTCCTGTCAATTTTGCTTTTTCTCTGTTGCACTAAACTGTGGATTAACTGTTGAAATTTTATTGCATTACATCAGTAAATAGTGTAGAGTTTACTTGATATGATGAAGCAGATGAAAAAGTGCTTTTTCATATTAATATAACAAACATATACTGTAATGTAGTGGTAGTTATAAATACAAGAGTTTTGGATAATAAATATCTCATTTCATCTATGGGATGGGAACTTTGGAAATTTGTGTAAAATATTAATTGTATGTCAACAATGTTAGGGTAAATTTAATAACATAATTACTTGAAATATTCCGTTGTTTCTATCGATTTTTGAATTTTCGATCAGTCTTTTTGTATACATTCATCATGCTCATATTGCCGTTTGTTCCAGGTTTTTTTTACAGAATAAATAGAATATGGGTAGCAGTTGAATATGACATACTCTTTTCGTCTGAACGTTTAAAGCGATAGACATTGGTTTGCAATCTCAATGAGAACAATAATCCTAGGATTCAGGTACATCCGGTTGATGAGTCCTGAAAAGGACAAAATGAGCATTCTTGATTCCACGGCTATTCACATTCCGTCTATTCTACTAACAATTAGGTTGAATACTTATATTATTATTCTTTTTTACAATATACTTAACGGTACTAAGAAGAAATAAAAATGATTCTTATTTCTTCTTGAATACCTCAAAGCTCAGATCGTTTTTATCGGTCAGTCAAGTACCTCCCAGAGTCAATTGGAAATACGGTATTGTAAATGCAAATACAGTTAAAACAGTTAGGTATTATTAAACAGCCCACTTAGAAAACTATCGGATGTACAATAAAAATTCAAGAGTAAAAAAGAACTTATCAATAAACAAATCATTTTTTCAAACTGTGAACTAATAATTAAATATATTGTAATCACTTCACACTCAGTTTACTAGTCAAATGATCGTTTGAGTCATCTTTAAAATGTTAAAACGATCAGTTAAAAGACAAGACACTAACTGAGGTTAGCTGGAATACCAGTGTAAATCAAGGGAGCATTGGATAGCTGTTTCATTCTATTACGCGACCTACGATCTCTCACAATCAGTCATTGAACCAAAGTCCCACTTGACATTCATTCATTATGAAGACTACCTCAGAAAAATATCATCACACTGGACTATTATATAATTTAATAATATCAACCCTTTATACTTGATACGAAATATATGCATCTGTTAAGCATGTTGACATTATAATACCATATGCAGTCAGTTATACGCAACAAAGAACATGATACCTATGATCATCTGTTCGATCCGCCAAACCATATCAGAAGATTGGGGTGAAATTGTCAACATAAATGTCAGAGGTTTAAAAATACTAATAGTATCAGTGGTAATTGGAAAACAGCGTAATTGTAGAAGAAAGAATGAATTCGCGGGATAGAAGTATATAATAATCCTAAGAGAAATTAAAGAGTGGATACATCTCTCCAATAGAGACGATATCTGAATCATGTCACATAATGTCTCCGATTGTTGGTCACGATTATCTGGTAGACTGGGTAGTATAAACCTATAAATATAATTCAGTTCAACGACGACTGACTTTATATACTGATATCACGTTTTGGTTTGGCTACCACCAGCTTTTTTCTAAAAAAACTCTTGTACCAGTATACAAAGTACGTCATTGGATGAGACTGATTACGTGCACAATCAAGGTCTTAGTCCATATATCCCTGCCTATGTTAGAAGAACAAATTTATTTATGCCACTCATTTGTGTACACTTTATTTACTTTGATAATAACAGCTTCATAGACATCTTGTCATGATAAATTGTGCAAGTATTTCTGAAGATCATGTACTTGTATCTGGATTGAACAACCGTGAAATGTAACAACACGAGGGTAAACTAGCAAGATGAAAATCACAATAGGAGGAATAGTAAAACTTAGTAGCATAGGAAATCTTAACAAGAAGTATATAGTTAAAGAGGGGTAAGTGAAATCTTAAAAAGTGAAGATATGTGATAATATGAAAATCCAAGATCCAAGGGAAGACAAAAAATAAATCCGTCTGCATTGTTGCAACCGATTTTGAGCCATGCTACTTAAAGGTCTCCAACCATTTGTCACAATTATCGTGCTAACTTTAATTGAGATGTCGTTACATTCCCCTAGAGCTCAAGCCAACAGTCAGTGAATTCATGGACTAATGCAATTTTTTTCATCGTCCTCCTGTACCATCTAGCATTGTACATCAGTGTAGATGGTGGATGAGCTCTTGGAATACATTTCCTGACCACCTAGATTATTGAACGTTTATATATTTACAAGTCAGAAGTCCCACAGTTGGTTTACGGCATATAAATATTTTTTCTTGTTATATGTATTTTCTTTAAGTTTCAGGTGATCTAAACGATGATGTCGATCCACAAAATAAACCATATCAGTGCATTAAATTAATGCATCGTTATTATTCATTAAATAGTGAGCTATATGATACAATAAATCCACCATTCAATGTTGGCTTTCACCATAGATTTCAAGGACTTATATCATGTTCTCAACAACGTAATCGTGATTGGTCAGTACAATCGATTAACGGTACAAATCTGTTGTTACTTATCACAGATCCAATATTTGCTGAGTGCGAAAATATAACACTCATTAGACGTTTACACCGTGATCCTATAAAAGGTTAGTTATAAAGAAAGTAAGAAAACGATTTTAAAAATTTACCTTAAGTAGGAATGTGTGTTTGAGAGGATAGATAGACTGTAGCCACAATTGTTATCTAGGAGGCGTGTTTTGTCCCATCCAAGACTAGTTCACTGGATACACCTGCATCCGAGTAATTTTGTGTTCACGTTTGGACACGAATCAATCACATTTTGACTTAAAGAATGTGTCTATTTTTACCTTTTTGATGCAAGTATTTAACACCCACATAGACAGAATCAGGAATTATGTGTTGTATCGACCTTTGGTACCCAATGGAAATGACGTCAAGTATGTTAGGGATTTGATTTATGGCTTTTTAGTGCCCAAATACCATGGTGTCTTGTGAACTACTACGCGTGAGTCCTATCATTGTCAACTGACCTTGAGGAGTAATGTCTTAATTGAATGACTTGCCAGACGAACCCTGTTAGTCATTACATTACACATTGAAAATCAAGTGCACTGATGGCCCAAGAAACAGCTTTCATAGTTTGTCGTTTTTTATCTTTCTCGCTACCTGACCACGTCTGTTCATCAGTGATCCTATAATGATTACTATATACAAATAATCTAGTTGTCCATTAAAAACAAGACAAGTATACAATCTTTATATTAAAAAAAGTCTTCATTATGAGCCTAGATGACATGGACGTAGATTAATTCTGAAAGAAAACGAAGCGTTAAAGGTATAATTTATGCAGCTAGTTATCTATAGATTAACTTGATATATATATCCTGGAATAAACAACTGAAAACTACATTCCAAACTGGAAGAAGAATTATCATCATAAGTTATGTATTACTAAATATGACAAAAATTGACAGTTATCCACAGCAAGCAATTGATTGACGGTTGAACAAGATCATGGATTGATTAAATTAGACATTAACATCGTCGGATGCCGGCTTAGTGATCTGAAAGTTGAGAGTTTTCACCGGAAACTAAAAGTCATGAGTTCGAGTCCCACGTGAAGGATTGTGGACGCGCACTGATGATCATACTAGTACAAAATAGATGTCCAATGCTTTCAAATTTCAATGGTGGTCTAACTTAGATCGGCTCGTGGTTTCAACTGTGAAAATTAATTAACTAACTGGAACTCATATAAGAATGAAGAAAAGAATAAAAATCTGTACTCAGTTATGTGAATTAAAACATTGTTATGTAACTGGCTGTTGAACGTGTTATCATCAGATAATCAAAAGAAAATTAATCGTAATATAATTTAGGATACATTATTTTTTTTATTTTTTCGCGAGATTAATTTATGGACGAGCCAATCAGCAGCGTTTTAGAGATTTCATGGTCATGGCTCCAACTTTAGTGCTTAATGCTAACGTATGATTGTTTCACATGGAATTTTGTACGAAACGTGTTAGTTGAACTGCTATAACAAATAAAACGGCGGGACTATAATTTGTGGCTGAATCAAACAGGTATAAGATAACAGACCTCGGATTTTGGCGCGAAAGCCTTTCATCCATTTTGCTAAATAGATTTCTGGCATTATAGCCAATGTCGGTTCGTGATGAAAACCCTATATATAATATCTAACTAAGGCAAATTATTACAATTATTGCGAACTGAATAATAAAAGCACCAGTAACACTGGCTGCAGCCAGGTACTACAATATATACGGATGATCGGAGACCGTACAGACTCCTACATATGCTCGGCTATGTGCATTGTGTCATTATCCACAGGCACCATTTTATGGCCCTGTAGCGTGGCGTCGAGTGGAGATTGACTATGAACACCGCTACCAAGATGCTCGTGCCAAATGACTCCATAAAATCCCCGAGAAGCCAAATATCAGAAGGCAATTAATGGACGAAGTCGAGGTTTATTTGCTGGCGATCTCGTGGTATCGAAAGGATACCGAGATCGTGCCAGGATACAAGCTTGGTTACAGAAAGTAACCGAATTCACGCGAAGTTACAATTGAAGTGTGTGAATAAGAATGGAATCACAATATAGCTGTCATTAGCACAGTCAAACAAAAGCACATTAAAACAAGCACTGGTACAGTTGGTTATAATAATAATTGCTTTTATTAAACCAGTCGTGTTCTCGTGATAAATGTGAGTCACTACAGACCCAACAACTGGAGTGTACACTAACAATATTGAAACTATGTGGTCGAGATTGAAAGAGTTTTTGTGACCTTAACATGGCTCCAGATGTCGACTATTCTGTAGCCATATGGATGATTTCCTCTACTGCATGTATTACGATTTTAGAACATCTGAACTTCTTTCTAACCTTGACAAGTTTTTGAAACACGTATAAGAAGTGTATTCACTTTCATTTTTTATTTTTGCATAATGTATTTTTACTCTATACTGACTGTTTGCTGATTGGCTAATATTTCACAAGGTCAATTATGTTTCTTTCATAGGTCGTCCATAAATTATAGTCTCGCCATTGAAATTTACTAAGGACTTATCTACTTAGTCAAACGTTCACCCCTCGCGGGCCATAGGCTTCCGACCAGGGATCTCCAACCAACTTTCCTGGGTCCTCTTTTCTAGTTGCTGACAAGTGCTACTCATTCTTTTGATGTCTGCCTCCAATTACCGGCGTAAAGTGTTCTTTCGTTTATCTCTTTTCCTTATGCCTTGAAGATTGCATTTCCGGGATCGCCTTGTGATACAATTCAGTGATAACCGTATAGTGTGACCTATGCAACTCCAGCGTATTTCCCTAGTTTCATCCTCAGTTGGAAGCTGTTTTGTGTCCTGGTACAGTTGACGGTTGCTGATAGTCTCTAGCCAATAGATCTACAGGATCTTATGTCAATAAATATGTACTTTTTTGACGATGGTTGTGGTAGTTTTCTAACTTTCAGCCCCATATAATAGAACTTTCTTAGGGTTGACGTTAAAATTTACAACTTTGTTATTAGCTGACAATTTTTCTTCAACTGTAGGTATGGTTCCCTTGCTTTGGCGAACCATGAATTCAAAAAACCCGTCATATTCTCCTTGCTTATCAGTGATGCTGTCTACTTATGGAAAGGTTTTTACCTCTTTCAGAGCTTTTCTATCAGGTGTGATTTGGTTGTTGCACGCTGTGTTGTATCTTGGGTTCTTTCTTTTCTCACGTGAATGTTGGGGTCTGTTGTTGTAGAAGCCGCTGCCACATCGTATGTCTTCATCGACATTTGTTTCTGTGTATAGGTAGAACGACCGAGTCATTGGATAAGTCCACGCAGCTAACTGCGTCCAAGATATCCACTATGTTTTATTCTACTTCTGAGTTGTGGGGGTCCATTCAAAAGCTAAGAGAACAAGAAATGATGAGAGTAGAGAGCCTTGTCTGACATAAATCTTGGTACGGAACGCATTTGCAAGCCGCTCTTTTTGGACGACTTTGAAATCTAGTCCATCATAGCAGTTTAGTACGATGATGACGATCTTGTCAGGTATCCCATAACGTGAAAGAGGGCTCTTTGAAGGTCCTTTAGCCACACTGTCGAATGATTTCTCATAAACGGGGAAGTTGATGTAAAACTATGAGTTCCATTGAAACGACTTCTCAACAATGATTCGATATGTCACGATTTAGTCGGAACATGATCTATATTTACAAACTCAAACTTGTTGGTCTCGACGTTGGGTGTCCTGTGAATCATTTATTGATTCGGAAACACTCTTTTGAGAACTTTTCCTGACACCGAGAGTAATTTGATGTCTCATTTATCACGTAATTCTGACTTACCTCTATCTACCAGCATTCTCTCAGTAGGTAAATCTTGTCCTGATCATGTCATTTTCCTACGTAATTACTTTTTTATCATGATTTATAATTATAACTTCATCATCTCCCTACGTTTATGTTAACCAGTTTTTGACAAGTAAATATGACCTCCATATTAACCACTATTGTTAAATATCGCAGTTCACGTATTTCACCCTATCTTTTAATATTCTCCTCTACTTCAGGTGTTCCCATTACAACCTCACCTCATCATTCTTTCTTCTCGAAGCATATTACCTGTTCGTACCGTTCTTTTCTACTACTGATATTGTTACTAATAATATTATTAGTACTATTGGTACTGATAGTGATGCAGACCACCAATGTTGGTGGTCTATTAGGGTTGATCGGGAATAACGTGACCTTCTGACTTACGTTTAAGTCATACCTCGATGTTAATACCCAACCTGGCTTTGTGTATCTTGATAACCAGATGGATCGGCTTTGCTAGTGTCAAATATTATATAATACTACTGCTAAAACAGAATGTATTAGTAATTACAGATTGGAGAAATACAGTTAGGGGTCATTGCTGCATGCACTTGTCCGTGATGTGCATTCGGTCGGTGTGGATTGATCAGGCTTGACCTCGGTGGTATTCAATATGCTGTTCAATATTCAGTGATCTCTTGTCTAACATAGAAACTGTTCAGCTAGGGCTCAGGGAAATTTCGCTAACCCTTCAGTAGTTAATAATAATAATAATAATAATAATAATAATAATAATAATAATAATAATAATAATAATAATCGTAACGATGATTTCCCTTATCGAGACTACTGCCATACAGTAAACTCCATTCCATGATGACATATATATCTTTAGCATGTACTTTTAAAAATCATCTCAGTCAAATCAATGTTGATCTTTTTCCAGATGTCGGTCCAGATGTTTGTGAAACTTCCCGTGTTCCGCGCTATCGTAGACAATCACAAAAGTGGACATTAGTTCCGAATGATGAGGATAATCCACTTCATTGTTCCAGTACAGATAGATTACAGATTTCATTATATATGATCATGAGTTTGAATGTTTTTTTCTTTTTTTGTCTTTCATTGTATTATTAGTTATTTAGTTTATTGATATCAGAAACATTTCCTAAATCGAGTGTACACGATTACTGAGGTTGAGATTTTGTGAAACATTTTGTGCTACTTGCTGTTAGTCAGTAGTACAACAGAAGAGCAAAAAATATCAGATTGATGGTATGGGTTTATTTGTTTATGTAATTGTGTGCCCTCATATTATGCAAGATCAATGTTATTTAAAACAATGATGGTATAATTTATTCTAGATTGTTATTCCATTATAATCTTGTGTTTTACCTGTACGTATCTTGACCTGATAGTTCCTCGATATACGAAAGCATTTCTTAACCGAGATACAAGTAATCCATTTACTGAGTAAATTTTTTCATGCATATGTAGTGTTTTAGTAATTCTGCATTTGATTATCACAGTCAAATTAACTTCAGAAAATTTAACATGGAAATTTAAAGCCGAAGTTTCATTTTTCCAAATGTTTAGTCTAAGATAGAAAAACCATTGATCAATAAGCTTATCTTATTGCACTGTATTTCAGTTTCATACATAGTTTACTGAACACATAACTGCGATAGTGATTGAATTTTTACCATACATAATTTCTTTGTCATAAATTAGGGGTAGTTATGAGAACTGTGAGTTATGTGAGATCGGTTGCTATTCGTGATGATCACGTTACTGATGTGATGTTCAACAAGGAAGCGATATCAGAAAGCAGAATAACTGGTTGACAAAATAAAAGTTGTATTATACTTATTTTATAATTATAATGTAATTATAAAGTAGAATGATATTTAAAGAAAAATAAAAAAGGACAGGAATTCATTTGAGACATAGGTGCTTTTTGGATTCGCATTTCATAAGTCATAAACCGACATATGAAAATTAAAATGTTATTATCAAGTTGATGGATTAGCAACTATATTATCAGTCATTTGAATTATTTGACTGAAAATGAAATGAATGAGAATAATTCGAGTGCGATAGTTTATCGATGCATATATTTCAGTCAAGTCAAAACTGTGTTAAAATAAAGATAACGGAAATAGGATAATATATTTCAATCAATGGGGGGAAATGAATTACACGTCATATAAAAATTGAAGAATAGCGTTGAAAATGTAAACAGCACGAAAAAAAGATTTAGGTTAGATAAATGAATCAAATGACAAATAATCTAGTAGTAGGACAGAACTGAGAGTGATAACATCTGATAAAATCGAACAACAGGGAAGGACTGAATTGCTAGCAAATTCAGAGTTTGTTTCTTGAGTGTGTCGTTAATGCATTCAAATGTCTAACTGTGAAATAAAAACGAAGGATAAAATTATTAAAAAAATCTAATGTCATGTTAAGAATAAAGCACAAACAGCAAGAGGAAAACCTCAAGATAAATAAAAAACTACCAGATGCACACTGACAGATAATTTGAGGCAATCCATCATGTGAATTTGACTTGCACAGAGACTATGATACATATTCTTTTCGCTTTTCATATTAGAATACACAGGTAAGGATTCATTGGTATGTGTAATTAACATGTGTTTCGTCTGTGCTTGATTGACCTACTAAACAATCAAGTGGAAAATATTTATCTGTCTCATACTCATTAGGATACTCTTAACTTGATTTGAATTCGCTGCCTGTGCAAACTTCATATCTGGATAAACTGGTTTTCTGACTGCTTTGGGAAATTTTCCTATTTCCTTTGATCCCTTATACCGCTCACTAGAATTCTACTTGTTATACATGTGTTGTGAGAATATCCAACAGCTGATACAATAACATCAGAAATATGACTATAATTCTACTCATTCGGAACATATATGTCACTTTCATTAGGGATATCACTGGAAATAGATCCAATATGAAGACAAATGACAGAATCTGATTCTTCTGTAATAATTTCCTTAAATTTATTAGGAACTTCAATGAAGAATAATGAATCCTTGGAAAAATCACCATCCATCAAACCTGCATCAGGTTTTTGATCATGATTTGATTCATTCAACATATTTTTCTCAGATTTGTATGGAATTTCATCAGAAATATGTTAATAATTAGGAACAACTATATATAGTGCAATGACATGAGGAATCCGATAAGAAATTGATTGGTTAGAAATTGTTGTCTCACAAGGATTCTGGGTTTCGTTTAACTCTGGACTGCGGTGATATTATCATTTATGAACGAGCCTATCGAAAGCATTTGAGGGGTTTCAAAGTTACGGCGCCGATTTCATTGCCTGATGGTCAAGTACAATCGATTTAAAGCGCATTTTGTATAAGACGAGATAATTGAGCGGCTACAGCAAATGAGATTTCTAAGAGGTTTATTTATTTGTGATTGCGGTAATCAACTGACTGCCTGACCTTGTGCAGATAACCGTGATGATGTGTTCCGATGTTACTTATGTTGTAGGAAGACGGCGATGTTTGAATGAACTAATGAGCCCTTTGTACTTGTTGTATGCTTGATTTCGAATTCTAAATACAGTACATTCGTTTATGGTTATCTATTAGTTCTTGATCCGATTACGTTATTTCTGGGATTTCTAATTCATACTATAATTCAAATACTCCTGAATATTACAAAGACCTCTACTAGGATGTTAACGTTTAGCGCTCGATCGAAACTGAGACTAATGCAAGTTCTTTTAATTGTTGCGAACTGGATAGTATAATATATAAATAGACGAAACAGTAGTCAGAAAACGAAAATTCAAAAGATGAAGTAGCATAAAGGAAGACTATAATATTAGCACTTCCATTAAAATCCCCCACAGGTCCTTGCAAGATATGCTAAGTATTCTCAAAAGGAACACTTCAAAAGGGTCAGAAACCGACAGCTAACAACGATAATACCAATTATATGGGAATATGTGCAGCCGAGTACTACGATATATACGGATGATCGGAGAGCGTACAGACTCCTACATATACTCAGCTATTTGCATTGTGTCCTTACCCACAAGGACCATATTATGGACCAAACAAATAGATTGTACACTAACTGTAACGGAAAGAGAACAGTGAAAATCCCTCTGCAGCTTCTTTGTTGAACAGTATTTTCATTTATTTGTTCCTTCTCCCTTTTGTGTATTCCAACCTTTGTTTCAATCTCGTTTAACCATGTCTTTTGTTCTTCAGTCTCCCTCGTTTGAGCCTTTATTATGTGATTTTGATTAAAGACTTATTTTCGTTACCTTATTTTCTATTGCATGTTGCCTGATCATTGACAGTAAGGTTGTGTTTGACTAAGCTCAAGGTCACGGCGTGGTTCAGTTTGTGACTGATAACCTTCTGACTATCTGCTTGGGAGAATTGCTGCAATCCCTGCAGATAGGTATTTGATCCCATCTTATTGAGAATATTTGTATTGATTCTCAGGTATCAAACCCTTTAGTATTAACTGTCTCTTTCATCGTTTAGCGCACTACTTTGCGTTAGAGAAACTTCTGACTGTATAGCACAGGCTGTACCGTTTGAGGTATTTTGTATTTTCGATGTAATTTGTTCTGTTTTCTTAATTAGAACCGTTTATATTGTGCACGGATTTTGTGTTTTGATGTAATATAATATGAGTATCTCATAGACGCGTTGTAAGGTATACAGAAGAACTTGGTCTGGTCTAATCAAATATATTTTGGGTTCGTCAGTCCGTTGTTTTATAAGAATATTGGTTGTTCGGTCGTTACAGTTCTGAAACTAACGCTGATCTCAAGTGACAAATTCTGGAATGCCTGGAAAGCGCAATAAGGTCAACGAAACCATGGCACTGGGCCACGAAAAATGCAATCGGATGCACCTCCAGATGTACGGCAAGTCAAATTAGATGCATTTTCATGTCATGGCTCTAATGTTAGTTTAGTAAGTAGACATAGCAAAGTTAGCTCTAGGATTACGTTAGCAGAGTTACAAGAAAGACGATTATTAGAAATGAGAAACTTGAAAGATAGACAGAGGAAACAACTACTGTGCTTTGAGCGAGAGTCTGGGTCGTTAAGGCTGAACGAAAGCACGTGTAGCAAGTTATCTTCTGTTTCTAACTGTGATGACAGAGAAAAGGAGCACGTTCACAGGTTCGTAAGTCCTCATGACCTTAGGATAAAGTCTCTAGAAACGTCAAATTTGCTAGATTATCCAGGAACGAAGAAAAAGGAAGTGACCTTGGAATCCCTAAGTGTAGGTCTTGAACTTCCAAAGGTAGAGCTAAGTACCTTTGATGGACAACCAGCTAAATACTGGAAATTCATCAGACAATTTGATTTATATGTGGTTTCCCCCCCGAACGCCCTGGTACGGCCGAGAGTGGGGAGAGTCCGCTCTCCCTCTCCAAATACTCTCACACGGCCGCGCGTATACAGCCTCTGCCAGGGAAGTCCTACTCACTGCCTTCTCGTGGAGGGGGTATTGTGTGTTTACGAAAATGAGACGACGAAAAGCGAACGTCCGGCGCTTTAACTGGATCACAAACCAATGGTGCACACGGGCTCCAGTATCCTGCGGGAACAAATGGCGTATGAACCAATCGTTGGTCACCGGCTACCATGGGATCGCGTCTCCTTACGATGCTCCACTGCCTTGTGGGTTAGACTGTTAGGTCAAAGGCTCGGGGTGTGGCCCCCTAAGATAACCACCTGCTTCGGTTTGGGCACCCGGGCAGTATCACAGCCCACACACAAATGGTGAACTCTTTATGTCTATGCAAATTACTTTTCTCGCTTCGAAAAACAATAAATTGATTCAAATTATTATCATTAAAATTGTTGTCATTAATAATACTATTATTATTACCATTATTGTCATTATTATTATTATCATTATTTTCCACATTATTCACCCTCTTTTATACTTATACAGCGGCTCGTCTTTGGTGGAAATTCGACTGTATCTAAACGTTCTCGAGTCACTGTCCGGTTGAAAATTGTATGTTACCACCGAATACGAGAACTGAAGCAGTTTTTCTGAAACCACGTGCACCATTCAAACTGGCTGCCTTCAACGTTCGCACACTTATGCAGGTTGGTCAAAAGATAGGGCTGGCTATGTCTTTGGAAAGTCTTAATATTGATGTTTGTTGTCTATCTGAGACCCGTATTCAAGACTCTAGCGAAGTACTACAAATTCGATCTCCATTTGTGGCTTCGAAAAGCTTGTTTTACGTGCGCTTATCCGGGGACTCTGTGGCACCTTCGTTTGGTCTTGCTGACGTTGGTGTCGCACTAAGCGCTAGAGCTGAGGCAGCACTAGTCGATTGGATCCCCATTAACAGTTGGTTATGTGCTGTTAGATTGGAAAGTTCCATCAAATTGAGAAGAAATCGGCGTGAGAAACGATGTATTTTCGCCATCGCCGCCTATGCCCCGACAGATTGCAGCCCGGATGCAATCAAGGATGAGTTTTACCACCAGTTATCTGTTCTTCTCCAGAAAGTGCGTTCGACAGATATTGTAGTACTAGCCGGAGACTTGAATGCTCAGGTCGGGCGTCTAGGCACAGAAGAGA